TCCATCATTTAAGAATATCATTTAAGGGGACACAGTGCTAGAAATAGCTTGGTCTGATGTAGTGTCTGCCCTCAGTGATTTGCAACCTAGACAATGACAAAGAGGAATGAATCAAACATGTTTTGGAAAATGCAAAACACGTTTGGAGAGCTGTGTGGACTCCCCAGTACTGTAATTGTACCTGAATAGAGTGGAATGCTCCCTTCTTCAACCACATCCATTATCTTATGGATGTAGAAAGTATAATGGGGCCATGTAGAACTTTGAATCCCGTGGATAAGAATTTTTTTACTTGGTTTTAAAAATTGGTATCATTTTCTGCAACTTCCCTGTCTTTGTCAATGTTACTTCTTTTATGTTAAGTAGCAATTTTAAGTCTTTTTAAATTTTGGCTTAAATTTTTAATTTCTTATGTCCTATTAGATGACAAATTCTATTGGCTTTTTGTTCTTCGAATTGTCTTTGTTCTTCTCTATGCCCTTGACACCACACTTTGCAGAACTTCACTGGCCCAGGCCTGGAATATAGCATTTCCCAGCTAACTACCATGCCCCCCGCCTCACCCCACCTCCTGCCCACTCCTGCCAGTCACCTCACCCTTTCATACTGTCGTATCACCAGAGACACTTTCTTCTCCTTCCTCTTTCCCTCTTTCCTTCTTGTTTTTTATAAGCATTTGGTGAGCCCCTAACATGAACAAATACGATTCATGTAAAAATGTTTTGTTCTATGTAATCTCACACACTCCTACTCATCCTAACCAATTTCTCAGTATGTCCTAATCATGATGTCCCACCACACGGGGCCTGACTCCTCAGTGTCCCTCAGCCTTGTCAACACTCCTGCCCCTGGCCTTTGTTCACCACATCTTCCAGTGACACCTCAGCTACATCTGACGCGCCTCTTCTTAGGGAGTCTTCACTGATCTTTCACTTCTCTGGACTCCTATAGCCACACAAAACTAAACTCTGTCTTTTATCCTTTGCTCCTTTTTAATTAATCTGAAATCCTTGCTAGCCTGGTTAAAAGTTATTTATTTCACTTCTTGAATATGCATCAGTCTGAGCACAGAGTTACAGATGTTCCTTAATAAATGCATTTCTACTGATTCTGAGTGTCCGATTTATGTGTAGAATTTGGATCCTTTAGGTTGCTTGATACAATCTTCACTTATTAAAAACTTTTACAATATCCTAGGCACTATTTCTAGATGCTGTGAACTGAGTGGTTGGGATACACAAAACATGAGAATGGCTGTCCATCTGGCCTCATGAAGAACGTTTCATAGAGCCAAGCTTCAGGGAGTTGCTGTTAAGACTGAATATTTTATTCAGGTACAATGAAAACAGATCATTTGTTTGCTCCGTAAGAAACAGGTGTCTGTTGCAACTTTGACTCATCAAAGTCAGGAGTAGTGTTAAAAGCTATTTCCTGACCTCATAGACCCCTTCTTGTTCATGATTTCTGTAACTCGTTACTTTTCTGGTGTTATGGCTTCTGAATACTCATTTTTTAGTATATCTTTTGCTTTTCTTTCTTTTTTCTTTTTTTTTTTTTTGCCTTTGCACAGAAATTCTCCAAAGAGAATGTGATGAGTTTGTTAGTTACTTTTCCCACTAGTTGGTCACAGCACTCATTCCAGAATCCTCTTGCAGATTGCTGACAAGCCTATATCGGCACCTCTTGGGCCAGACATATCCTTTGATCCGGTCACGATCACAGAAATGGATCACTTAGAAGGTTTTCCCATCCAGGGGCTGAGATATGGGAGACACTCCCCTAAAATAAGGACGTGTAACTTGAAGATGCCTCAGTTCACTTTAGTAAAATCTGTATTTTGCTAAAAGTGCACAGTATGAATGAAATTAGCTCACTAAACTATATCTAGGAGCACTGTACATTATTTTCATCTTAATGCCAATTGTGACACTGGCCTGATCCTAAATCAATTGTCATAGTTCTTATTGGAAAAAAAAGTTCCAATCTATATAAAGAAAACCTCAATTATTCTGAGATATTGTTACTTCATTGATTCCCATCTGACCACATTGGCATTTGTCCACTGCTCAGTGTTAGGTCAGACAGTTAATAGCATTAAAAGTTTCTTAAATTTTATTAAATGATCTGCAGAAAAAAATATAGATAGCTTTTGAGGTATTGAATACCGAGGGCTGAATTTGTTTTCACTTTCGTCTCTTCTATATAAAATTGGTCATTTAACTCTAAATTTACTTCAGACATTCTAAGCTTAGACATTTTTCCTGTACTAAAAATTCTTATAATCTTGCTTGCTCATGAAATAAAGCCTTTTTTAAATGATTTAACCTTACCTGCAATGTTTTGATCACCTCTAAATTTTTCTGTTGTATAGCCATGCATTGTAAAAACTAGCTGGACAATAAGTACAATCTCTAATATAGGCAAGATTTTTAGTGTGCTTGCTTTGTACTTGGCTAAAATGTGATGTTGGAAGAAGTGCAATTCATAAATGATATTTCAATTTCAATGTTTTTCACCCTCAAATAGATAAATTCTCATTCATTTAAAAATCTTTCTTAAAATTGTCATGTTAGTCTCGGTTGCACTCTGTCCTACACATTTCCATTGCATTACTGCTCCTTTCAACAATCTTTGTTGAAATGTTCTTAGTGAATATTCACAAAATCATTTACCTCTCAAATCAACAACTTGACTCTTCAGTTGCTATCCTACCTTTATTCTCCAAGTAAGTTATTTTTAAAGAACAAGATCATGGAATATTATGGGATCAAGGAGTCAAGAGAGCTTCCTAATTTTCTTTGGCGTGAACATAGTACATTATTAGCATGAACATAGGGCATTGACATTAAGAAATACAGCCCTAATACTTGTGTTGATGCATACATCCTCAGAGGCTTGCATCATTCAAGAATATTTGAGGCTGGATGTGGTGGCTCACATCTGTAATCCTAGCACTCTGGGAGGCCAAGGTGGGCAAATGGTTTGAGCTCAGGAGTTTGAAACCAGCCTGAACAAGAGTGAGACCCTGCCTCTACTTAAAAAATAGAAAGAAATTAGGTGGACAACTAAAATATGTATGTCTAAAAAAAATTAGCCGGTAGTCCCAGCTACTCAGGAGGCTGAGGAAGGAGGATCACTTGAGTCCAGGAGTTTGAGGTTGCTGTGAGCTAGGCTGACGGGCAAGAGTGAGACTCTGTCTCAAAAAAAAGAATATTTCAAGATAGTATCAGTGAACTGTAGATAAAATATATGAAAATGTAGATGACCATAAAATCCATAACTCCCAACAGAGGAAGATGGATTAAAATGGAGAAAAAAAAACACAGACCCACATCTGATCTGTTTGGCCTCTTTGATTAGGGTGAGGAGCATCAGATGTTCACCAAAACCTTCTACAAATTCCTAAAACTGCTTTATAGCAGAGTTCTATTATTAACACAACACAGATTCCACTCTGTCCCTGCTATTGTTTATATCTGACAAATACTTATTTCTTGAAACCCTGAAGTGGAAACAAGTCTTGTGCTACATAGAACTGGCCTAAAACAGAAAAGGATAATAATTTCAAAACATAAAATAACAAATCATGGCTGATTTGTAATATTCTCATATTTTTAGCAGAATACAAAGTGATGATGAGGTTATTGCCAAAACATCAGATTCTAAGTATTTTTTGAAAAAGTTTGAGAAAATTAAACTTTTTGAAACAAATTATAGAGGAGTCCCTGAATAGTTTTATAATGAAAAAATGATAGAGGTGAACATATAACAACACATGTATACACACAGCAACTTCACTTTTTGTTGTTGTTTTATTGAGACAGAGTCTCACTCTGTTGCCCAAGATAGAGTGCAGTGACATCATCATAGTTCACTGCAACCTCTAACTCCTGGGCTCAAGCCATCCTCTTGCTTCAGCCTCCCCGGTAGCTAGGACCTAGAATTGCATGACACTGATCTCGGCTAATTTTTCTGGTTTTAGTAGATACAGGTTGGTCTCCAATTCCTGAGCTCAAGTGATCCTCTTGCTTCAGCCTCCCAGAGAGCTAGGATTACAGGCATGAGCCACCATGCCTGGCCTAGTAACTTCACTTTTTAATGAGTACAGTTGAAGCTACTGGAATGGTAACACATTTTCTTTCTTTTTTTTAAAATTCTCTAAATTGTTTTGGTGGCCAGATTTTCAAAATTTACTCAGCTAAATAGCTAGCACAAATGCTGCAGAAAGATATTTAAGTCTGGTCAGTGGGCATCTTCGCTTTAGTGTCAGGAGGACCTTTCTCCTGACTCCTTGTTAGAGTCCCTGACGTTTTGTGCAAGTGCTTCCATATACTTCCACTCCATCTTCTTGGACTTCCCAGTGATTGATGGATAATACTTTTAGTCATGCCTGCTTGAGGATAAGAAATGAGACATTGATTTCAAAATGTGCTTATACAGGCTGCTACTTAACTGATTTTTACCTTTTTAAATATAAGTGCCCTTTTGATAGACTGAAATATTGTTCAGACTTAACCACGCATTAGCATTCATAGACATAACAATAATAAGTACTAATTAGAAGTCTAGAATCATTAGCTAAATGGTACTCTTAGTGTTCATGACCTGGAATGTCAGTTTAAGTTCTCTGAGGTCCTATTTCTCAGTATATATACTGGGAATCAAAATACTATATCCCATAGAGATTGTTATTGGAAAAAGGTTGAGAAAAGACAAACAGGTTATATAAATCCATTATGATACCATCTTCACTTCTCACTGAACCTCCAGAAACACTGAATTCTGAACATGGTCTGGCTGGTGCTAATATTAATGATAATTCTTTGAATCAACAGAAAGCTACCCAAAATATTATAAATAGGCTATTGGGCAGTTTCTACCACTCAAGAGGCTAAATCTCTTCCGACCTCCTGAGGACTTGCTTCTGCAGTGAAACCAAAGGCCTCTATTCCACTTCAATCATAAAAAGCATGCATGATTCATTAAGAATACAGGCAAGGCTTTATGTTATATTTATTTATTTTCCAGCTTATACAAACTGGATGTAGAAGCATAAACATAGTACATTTCTACCATCTTCAACAAAAATATAACCAATATGTACAATTATTGTATTAAAAATACAAAAGGGATACAGACTCCACCAATGTCTTTCTAAAAGACATACAGGTACAAGTAGTATCAAAAGTATGAGGAAATCACCAGTTAATTGTACATTCTGCACTTGACATCACAGAGCGAACTGAGATTAGCAGTCCTATGTTCTACAATTACTTAATGCTTAGGTAACATTTGTGCAACTTGTGGTAGAGCTAGATTTCTGTCTTTCTATATGCACATGAGGTCCATAGCCTATATAATAAAACTGGCAAATAATGCATATTACATGTAAAATTACAAATGCATAATTGACAATGTAATATATAAGCAAGTAGACAAATGCCATGGTACAGAAGAGAATTATTAAATAAAGCACTGACATTGTTTGATACAGTGAAAAAACACTGCAATTCCACTTTTAAAATTTGAAGCTATTTACGTTTATCTACTGATCAATATGATCAGCTGAATTTAATGGAAAAAAAATCCAAGACCAGCAGTTCCTCACATTTGAGTACTACTCGGATTGGCAGCCTTCACTTTTCCGGAGTCTGTGCAAAAACAACACAAAAATAGAGTGGAGGGGTCATTTTCAGTCAATATAGGGTTAATAGCAGCTGTGAGCAGATGGTTGCTACACTTAGGCCTTCTCTATAGTCAGCGTCCATAAAGCCACGTGGAGGTTAGTCTTTGGTGACTAACCTGCCTTGCAAAGGCTGGCATACCTAACTAGGTTTCTGATCTTTTATCACGTTTAAAGGCTTGTTTATTCCCTAATGCCAATTCAATAAAGGGAGGCTGTCTTGAAAGAGCAGTATAAACAGCTGGCATTAGCTCCAACATCCCAAGCTGCTTTCACTGCAATGCTGTCCAGTTATAAATGTTTCTTTAAAAAAAAAAAAAAAAACAAAAAAAACTAAAACTCTAAATTAACAAAAATCAAAGAAACATAACTTAAAAATGGGGTTTGCCATCCATCTCAATGGAGCAGGACACGCCCTTCAAATGACACTGTCCTGCCTCCATAAGGCTCAGACAGGACAGAGAGTCCTATTTCCCTCCCCTGGCCATGTGCAAACAGTTTGACAGAAGAACCCCACCCGCTGGGGAAGGAGCAGATGAGGTGTCTTGGTATTCGAGTAATTGGCTAACATTTTATACTTCCAGGATAGGGCACTTCATGGGTGAGGCCAGAAGGACGTGGGAAGACAGGGTCACAAGCCAGGCCTTCCCCTCTTCTTGGTGCGGCCACACCCTGTCCGGCATATTTGGTTTTTTAGAAACCAGGCTGGCAACCCTACTTAAGGTTCAAAATAATACTGTAATCATTAAATGGATAAAACATTTACTCTCTAAACACAATCTTTAAACTCATTTCTTTTTTTTTAAAAAAAAAGGAGGACATTGTAAACAAGTGGACAAGCACTGTGCTCAAAGGATTTCATTGTTTTTCTTTGTCTTCCTCTGTGGGTTAAAGGCCCCAAGTAGTTCAATGGCTAGCTTTTCTCATTATCCCAATGAGACCAAGTGCTAGGACTGGATTGCAATTTAAAAGGAAGATTTTTAAAAATCCTTCCAGGCATTGAGAAGTGCAGCCAGAGTGAATCATCTCGTCGTGATGATCTTGGAATTTGGAATGATACTGTGTGATGTGGCAGGCAGCAACAGCGGGAGCTTGAAGATTGCTGCACTGTGCATTTCAAGCAACAAAGTCTGAAAAGTGCCAGGGCAATTTCTTCACAGTATTTCACATGCAAAGGGGGTAGGAAGAAGGGGAGAAGCCCCATGCTGCTTTTAAGGCAGGGAAGGAGGCAAACTGGTCCACCATCCTCAGAATGTGAGTTCCAAGGCTCCAATGCTAGGGACGTCTTCCTGTGCTCTCCTTGTGGGTGGCTCGCCTGTGCCTCAAACAGCAGACACTTGTTCATCTTCTGCAGATACGGCAAGGAAGAGGGGGGAAAAAAATCAATGAACAAGAAAACAATTTTTTCTGCTATAGAGAATATATTCACTAATGTGCTAAGTAAAAACATTATAGCTATTCTTTTTATATAGCTCATTTAAAATCTTTGTCTTTTCTCCTAAGGCAATGATTAACAACACCACAAAAATGTTAGAAATGTATGTACAATGCATATATTTAAAAATATGTAATATTAAAAAACATATACATTATATATTTTGGTCAGAAAATTGTTAATAAATTCATTGGAAAAAGTTATAAAATACCATGTGCTTTTCCTAGGCAGGCATTGCAGAATGTTTAGTAGCACCCCCAGCCCAGCTGTGACAACCAAAAACATCTCCAGATATTGTCAAGGATCCCCTGAAGGGTAAAATCACCCCCAATTGCTAACTACAGACCTAGAACTATGAAAATCATGTCCTTTTACAAAATTTAAAATATCTAGCTCATCAGAGTATTTAAAAGTCTTAACACTTTCACAATAAGCTTGTGGCTTTTAACTCTGACAGTTCATGTTAGTTACTTAGTTAAGTCAAGGTTAGGTTTGTACAGATAGCCTCTCTGGAAGGTAGTTAAATTCTTTTGGCTACTTTTAGTCATTCTGGCAACTATCATTGACACTTCAGTAGTTACCAGATGAAGTAGCATTTCAAGAGTATACATAAGCTGATAGTGTTTATATTATTAATTCAACCATATTAAATAAAATTTATTATTATGTAACTCTTGGTTGGTCTTCATACATTTTAGAACATAGTTTCAATATTCAAAACTATGTGCTTTTTATGGATGAATAGTATAGTTTGTGAATTTATCTCAGTACAGCTGGCATTAAAAAATAGTATATGCCTTTTTAGAAAACATACAGTCAGATACACATTAAAAAGTCTAGAAGTATATAACAAAATGTTAATGGTGGCTATCTATCTGCAAGTGGTAGGATAATAAGTAATTTTATAATGTTTTGCTTTTTTCTACAATGACTGTGTAATAAAAAACATGTTAAACTGAAAACTTAAAGAAGAAAGGGGAAGGACATGATCCCCCTTCTGATTCTCAATCCAGCATGTCCAGGTAGATTTATAAAAAAGTGGCAAAAAAGTCATAGAGATAATATATTTCTTTATCTCTTTATCACACTTTCTTTTCCAAATGAGGTTTTTTTTTTTTTTTCTTTTTGAGACAGTGTCTTGCTATTAGCCTTGGCTAGAGTGCAGTGGTTTCATTATAGGTCACTGCAATCTCAAACTCTTGGGCTCAACTGATCCTCCCACCTCAGCCTCCCAAAGTGCTATGATTACAGATGTGAGCCGCCAGGCCCAGCATGAGCCCCAATTTATTAAGAGCCCAGATGTAATGATTTTACAGAAAACTTTAACCATCCAGTTTGACAGCTCAAGATATTCTTGAAAATAGCACAAACTTGGGAAATTTGTAATCATTTCCTTAAAACCGGGTCACAGGCCAGGCGTGGTGGCTCACACCTGTAATCCTAGCACTCTGGGAGACCCAGGCGGGCTGATCGCTCAAGGTCAGGAGTTCAAAACCAGCCTGAGAAAGAGTGAGACCCCCGTCTCTACTATAAAGAAATTAATTGGCCAACTAAAAATATGTATAGAAAAAATTAGCCGGGCATGGTGGCGCATGCCTGTGGTCCCAGCTATTTGGGAGGCTGAGGCAGGAGGATCGCCTGAGCCCAGGAGTTGGAGGCTGCCATGAGCTAGGCTGATGCCCCGGCACTCTAGCCTGGGTAACAGAGTGGAAGGAGAGGAAAGGAGGGGAAAGGAGAGGAGAGGGGAGAGAGGAAAAGGGGGGAAGGGGAGAAGGGAAGGGACAGGGAAAAAGGGAGAAAAAGGGAGGAGGGGAGGGGAGGGGAGGGGAGGGGAGGGGAGGGGAGGGAAGATGCCTTGGAAAGCTCACGGGCAGCATAAGCGAACACAGGTAACTGGAAGCTCTTAAGAACAGGTGTATGTGTATGTACCGTCCTCCTCCGCGGAGAAGCCTTGCGACTGGTAGGGGGCGAGGCGCGGGTCGGACTCGCTGGGCCTGTGCCACTGAGGCTTGCTCACGGGCCTGCTGCTCGGCGGGTGCCCGTGCGGCTGGGCGGGCGCGTCCGAGGGCCTGGCGATCATGCGCGACCGCTGCAGCGCCACGTTGTAGTCGGGCGGCTTCCTGGCCGGGTGCGAAGGCGCGTCTGGGAAGTCGGCGATGGGGATTCCCACGTAGCCCGGAGGGGTGGGCGGGGGCTCTCGATACCTGCCCTCCTTTCGTGCTGCGGGAGAAACCACGCGCCAGCCATTAAAAACCCTGTGGACCCGCTTCACGCCCCGAATGTTCAGCAGAAATATAAAGATAATTGTTAAAACAGTAAACACAGCACAGTAGCAGATGTGGTTGTGTGTGGTTTGGGATAGAGCTGCGGGTGCCTGGCAGGGCAGGGTATGGATGCAACCAAACCGAGTATTCAGGATGGCTCACTCTGAGTGGTGTAGTCGGAGAGAGAAACTACCAAGCCATCTAAGTATTTTTATCTTTTTTGAGACAGAGTCTCGCTTTGTTGCCCAGGCTAGAGTGAGTGCCGTAGCGTCAGCCTAGCTCACGGCAACCTCAATCTCCTGGGCTCAAGCTATCCTCCTGCCTCAGCCTCCCGAGTAGCTGGGACTACAGGCATGCGCCACCATGCCCGGCTAATTTTTTCTATATATATTAGTTGGCCAATTAATTTCTTTCTATTTATAGTAGAGATGGGGTCTTGGTCTCGCTCAGGCTGGTTTCGAACTCCTGACCTTGAGCAATCCGCCTGCCTCGGCCTCCCAGAGTGTTAGGATTACGGGCGTGAGCCACCGCGCCCGGCCTTTTTCTTTTTCCTTTTGAGACAGGGTCTCGCTCTGTGTCGTGGGCTGCAGTACAGTGGTTCAATTACAGCTTGCTGCAACCTCAAACTCCTGGGCTACAACTGAAACGTGTTAGCACGTGGTAAAAGTTCCCTCTCCAGGCCCCACACACAAGGTGGCTACTCCATCTTTGCTGGGCATTTCCCTCTGTCAGGCAGAAAATCAATTCCATATTATTTTCAGGTCTCCAGACCTCACTTTGGAAAACAGTGAATTAAAATAGATTGAAAAATGTAGCACAAAGGATACTAATTTATAAAAGCTCTAAAACTATAGGTACTTATTTTTCTTAAAATCCTTTTATTGATGCTCATGACCTAGAACATGAAATCTGCAAAGGCAAGTAAAACTACAGCTTTAGTTTCATCAACTTTCTAGACTAAACTGTTAGAAACTAAAAATCATTTTTCCTTTCTTCACAATAAAAATTGTATTGGTTTGTTTTGAGAAAGCACTTGAAAGAGTTCAACCTAAGAACATGGGCTTAAAAGGGTATTAAATTTGACATTTACCTATGACTATTTACATGGCAAAATAACTACACTTTCCCTCACAAAAATAATGTCTGTAATGATTACACTTCAGAATTTGTCACCCTGTATCCTATAATCTATTCCTACACTTCAACTGCAGTGATGTTAAACATGCCAGAGAAGATACACCCCGACAGGACTGAGAGAACATGAGAGCCTTGATCAGACACAGCCTCAGTATCTTCCATGTACTTCTGAATTTACTCTCCAGCACTGTTCTGAATACTTTGCATAGACTTCCTTTAATCTTCGCACTAACCCTATTAAGTTAGAAATAATAATAACCCTAATAGTAGAAATTATTCAGCTCATTTTATAGATGAGGAAACAGGCACTTTAGTACTTTGCCAAACATCACAAAGCTAGTAAAGCGGCAAAGCAGGGATTCAGACTCCAATCTGCCTGACAACTAAGCTATGTTCTTCCTTATTCTATAGTGTGCAGAAACAATTTGCCTGCATAACAAAAAAATCAATGGAAGATTTTTGAACATGCAAAATGTAAAGTTCAAAATGCAATCAAGAGAACAAAATAGAACACTAAACAGTTTCAGTAAAAGAAAAATTCTTTATCTATGGAGAATGGGCATCCATCCTGATAACAGCCACAATGACAATCTATTGATCCTGATGGCTAGGATTTATTGAATGTTTTATAGGTGGGAATATGTCTATATGTACCTGACCATAAAACCTAGTATTCATTTCAAAATCCTGAACACAATGCTAATTTGGAAGCCCTATAAGAGCAACGGACAAAGTGAGAAAAAGAACCACAAATATATAATTTTACTTTTGAAATAAGTTAGATTAAAGCCACGATCCAGACGTGACAAAGTCCCTCAATTTCTAAACTTACCAATAAGCCCCTTTGCAGTACTCGATGCCACAGCTATGTGGGCAGGCATGGGGACAGGTTTGGTTTCTTCTGTGGTCACAGACGTTATGCTACTGCTTTCAGCTTCGATGGAAACGTCCTTCCCACCCCTCCGCTTTATTGTGCCCGTGTCGCCTTCCGAGTCTTCTCCCCAGTAACCCGTGGAAGATGCCCAGCTCGCCCGGGATTGGGCTTGTTCAAGACTCTCTCTACTTTGATTTTGCCTGTTTTGCTTTGTGCTATGATCAGAAAACATGATTTGGTCCACGTGGCTGCTCGAGGCCCAAAAACCTGCAGGATCCCCTGAATAGTCAAAGTGAGTGTGCCCAAATGGGAGCGTCTCCCAGCTTCTCTGGTGCTGGATCGTCTGTATGTTATCGTGGGAACCACTTGAGCACGACGTCCAGCTCCCACGGCCGCTGTCAGCAGCATCGAGTGAAGCGCGATCCCCCTGGTCTTGGGAGAGTTCCTCTGTGCTGGGAGAAGAAATTACTGTAGCTGTAGCATATAAGCCTCGACTCTCCGACATCGGTGCATAGGACCTAAACGGTCAGAAGAAACAAAAAAGGGAAAAAAATAAAAGCAAGATTGTTAAACTAATTCACCTATGATAAAAACCAAAATATCATGGTTTTTTTTTCCCCCTAAAAAGTAGCTTTCTGTCGGGCGTGGTGGCTCACGCCTGTAATCTTAGCACCTTGGGAGGCCGAGGCGGCCGGATCACTCGAGGTCAGGAGTTCGAAACCAGCCTGAGCAAGAGCAAGACCCCGTCTCTACTATAAATAGAAAGAAATTAATTGGCCAACTAATATATATACAAAAAAAATTAGCCGGGAATGGTGGCGCATGCCTGTAGTCCCAGCTACCTGGGAGGCTGAGGCAGGAGGATAGCTTGAGCCCAGGAGTTTGAGGTTGAGCCTGACTCAGATAACGAGGCAGTCCCAGCCCAGCCGACAGAGTGAGACTCTGTCTCAAAAAAAAAAAAAAAAAAAAAAAAAAAGTAGCTTTCTTTTATTCCAGAAAGAGGATGAAAGTATCACTGAATTGCATTATAGTGGCAAGTTCTGCCACGTCCAGTTTTCTCACTTTGTCATTAGCTCATAAACACGGGGAAAAGAGCAACAAGTTGCTATGATAAAAAAAAAAAATTTTTTTTTTCCTTACAACATTAAGGATGGCTCAATATAATTTGATTATTTCAGGAAGACAGCTCATACAAAGGGACTGGGTATATCCTGAATTCACCTTTTGCATTCGGCACAGAACAATTATATTCCAATAAAGAATAAACCTAACTTTAAAGAGCAGTCTGTGCAACAAAAATAGCACGGTACTTAATCTAAAAATTGTGACAATTAGAACTGGGATGGGAGCAAATTTCTTAGGCATTATAAAATAAATAAAAAATATGTTCTCGGGAAGAAAGGACTCATTATTAAAAGAGAGATGGAAAAAGGAATGCAAAAGAGCACTAAGTGAAGCCGCCTACCCTAAGCTGTACTGATCCGGCTCAATCATGGTCCGCCTCTCCATCCTGCCCACGCCTAGGTTTGTTTCCACGATGCTGACAGAGTGCCTCTGGCGCCTCTCATCATGTAGCGACACTGGCACTGAGTCAAAAGAAGAATTGCTGACAATACTGGATCGTGAGGAAATTTCGCTGTGACCAGAATCTGAAAAATTATCCACAGTACCACTGGGAGCCAAAGTATAGCCTGTGTGAGAAATACAACCATATTAATTAGACACTCTAGGTGTGTAACATAAAATGGAAGCCTACCAAATAGAAGCAAAAATAAAATGCAGGCACAGCTATCATCATATTAAAGCGGGGAAAGAAAACCCATTTTACTTATAGAGATGAGGTGACTAAGATAAATTTTTTTACTGTAATGAAGCTTAAGTTGCTTAATCAAAGTTTAGAGAAGAAAAGGGAAAACACTGTTATACAAACTAAGAAAAGATGCAGAAATCATGGCACTACTTAACTATTCTTAGCTCCCTAGCTATGAATTATTACTATTAGTCTATATGAAAGAAAACAAGAATAACTGATCAGATTTAAAAGTATGGCTTTTTCCAAACTGCAAACAAAGCCAGTAATCTTGTTTTCAACTGAGTTTTCTATTTTTAGAACTTTAAGTATGGCACAGAATAATGGAACTGGAAATATCTGTATTATACCTATAATTTTAAATGGACATATAAAAAAATAAGAAATAAGAGATGGAGATGTATTTGGTTTTTCAACATTAATATTAGTTGAATCACATAAAAGCTCATTGTTTTGATGGATGTAATGTGTGCTTTTCCCCAAGATCATTACTATAAAGTGTCTAAAAACATGTCTATTTCTTGTCCTGAAAGGACTCTTAACTCTCCTTCATTACTAAAAATAATTTTGAAAGTCACAATGAAAGAGGCTTGTCTTAATATTTTTAATGAAGAAAGTCTAAATCTTTTTTCCTCAATATTTATTTTTTCTTGTCTACTTTAACTAAGGATCTCATCCTATTTAAACATTGGTTTTATATGATTATATGCAATGCAGATTTTTTTCAATGCTGCTTATCTAAAAAAAAAATTAAATCTAGAACATCTGAATGTTTCTAATTTAAGTATGTTCCCATCCTTTCAGTAAATTGGTAATTCCTGATTTATTTTTTAAAGGCTGCACAGGTCTTGATAAGATTTAATGTGTTTATCTATGAAATGTCTTTTTATAAACCATACTGCAAGTTCTGACAGACAAGATTTAAAGCCTTCCCTGAATGGTCTGCTCAAGAAAATATCTCCAGAAAAATAATCACTCAGATGGAACACTTGACATTTGGAGGAATTCTCCCATTTTCTTTAATGAGATGACTCCTCTCTTTCCCACCCTGTTTTTGGTTCTATAAACCCCACCTATCCCATAGGTCCGTGGTGCATTGTTATTCTTGTTACTGTTCTCACTTCCAAGAGAAGAGGAGGAACTGGTTAAGTCCAACTGCCCGGAGCCAAAAGATCTCAGCTGATTGCCACTGCCACCTGACAACAGGATGAGAAGAGAGTTTAGATATATCCATTTAGCAAGGATGGTAGAGACTGATACCCACACAAAATGCACAGAGGTCTGAAATATCTACAAAGTAGAGCAGTATTTGTTATCAATGAAATCTAGCAATTTATGAACCTTTTTGGCCTTCCTCTAGGGAAAACTAAGTCTTAGCCACTTATTACTGGCCCACACCTCCTCAGTTAAAATGGAGGAAGTAGCCTGAAGAGTCATGAAATTATCTAGTCTTTTAATACGAGCAAGTATGGACATAAGAAGGAGACTTTGATTGCCTAAAACGTAGTCTCTTTAAAAAATAAAGCAAGGTAGCAACAAATTAGGTAATCAAGACCTGTGTTAATACAATGAAAAAATAAATCAGGAAGATACTAGTTTTTCATATATTTTTAAAGCCCTATTCTCTGTATTAATGTTATATAACCAAATTTAGTTAGAACAAATTTTAATATAAAAAGAATTCTTTTCATACTGATAACCAACAAAACTAAATGTATTTTTTAAAAGTTTTATATAGTTACATATTTAATATATTTACTGTAAGTATAACATTAAAAAATATCAAAATTCTTCCAAATTGAGAAACTAAGGGAAAAACAATTCATTGGACATTATATAAGAGATCATCTTAAGTGACTATATTAAAAATTACATTATGCATAACTCTGGAATTTATTATACCTGAAGTATACACATTTTGAGAAAGGAAAAAAATAATTTAGTTCTACCTTTCCTTGGAGAACTCTGTGGAGAAGTAGGTGGAGAAGAAAGCTGTGATGATGCATTTGATATCGTGTCTTCCGCTTGTTTCTTGTGACGTTCCAAACTTCCCTCTTCAGACAAAGAAAGAATTTTCTTTAAAGCTTGTGGAGAGTTTATGCCTATAAAGGAAAAGCACTTTCATATGTATTTTCAAGACTCAAAAGAAAAACATTTTTTGTGTTTGATAGTTTGATATTTTACATTATATTCTTCTTCTTCTTTTTTTTTTTTTTTTGAGACAGAGTCTCGCTCTGTTGCCCAGGCTAGAGTGCCATGGCATCAGCCTCGCTCACAGCAACCTCAAACTCCTGGGCTCAAGCGATCCTCCTGCCTCAGCCTCCCGAGTAGCTGGGACAACAGGCATGCACCACCATGCCTGGCTAATATTTTGTATATATTTTTAGTTAGCCAATTAATTTCTTTCTATTTTTAGTAGAGACGAGGTCTGGCTCTTGCTCAGGCTGGTTTCGAACTCCTGAGCTTGAGCGATCTTGGCCTCCCAGAATGCTAGGATTACAGGCGTGAGCCATCGCACCCAGCCTACATTAGATTCTAAACCTTTAAGTCACCATCTTTATTCAACAATGTTAGGTAACGATGAAGGGAAAAAATAGACAATTTGGAAACAGTTGAATTTAGGATGAAAGTGGCACAGCTAAGAATATTTATTATTAGAACTCAAGTTTGAGCTGGAAACATACTTTGGTGTCATTGGATATGTTAGTTCAGGGGAAGTGGGAATGACAGGAAAAAAGTAAAGGGTCTAGAGATAACAGGAACTAGAAAAAGTGGATGAAAGAGCTCTAAGGAATGCTACAGATAACACTTGGTCAAATAAACAGATGAAAGAGAAGGCAGGGAGACCCATGAAAGTGCTGTGTCACAGAAACCATGGGAGAAGGTTTCAGAAGAAGGACGTGAACCAGTGCCAAGTGTAGGATCCAGCAGGATGAGGGGTAGGGGAAAACGAATTATATATGCCAATGTAGGTGTGATTTTTCCAAATCCCCCCAAAATTTATTTTTCAGAAATTAGGGAGTCACATTAAAATGTCAGCATTTTCCAAAGGCTCTCATATTATTATGAGGTGCTCTAGATTACCTTATTTTGAACAACAAAGAGATATCTGGGAAGGCACCATAGCCTGAAACTACCTCAAATCATTTCTAGTTTTAACTGGTCATAGACTTAACAGAATCCATTATAAAGGAGTCACTAAAATTTAACAAAGATCTAATCCTTCATTTTACATCTTATTAAGTGGTTTGATGTTCTTTTTTTTTTTTTTGAGACACAGTCTTACTCTTGTTGCCCTGAGTAGAGTGCTGTGGTATCAGCCTAGCTCACAGCAACCTGAAATTCCTGGGCTGAAGTGATCCTCCTGCCTCTGCCTCTTCTGAATAGCTGGGACTACAGGCATGTGCCACCATGCCTGGCTATTTTTTCTATATATTTTTAGTCATACAGCTAATATCTTTCTATTTTTTTTTTTAGTAGAAATAGGGTTTCACTCTTTTTTTTTTTTTTTTGAGACAGTGTCTTACTTTGTTGCCCAGGCTAGAGTGAGTGCCGTGGCGTCAGCCTAGCTCCCAGCAACCTCAAACTCCTGGGCTCAAGCAATTCTGCTGCCTCAGCCTCCTGAGGGACTACAGGGACTACAGGCATGCGCCACCATGCCCGGCTAATTTTTTCTATATATATTAGTTGGCCAATTAATTTCTTTCTATTTATAATAGAGACGGGGTCTCGCTCTTGCTCAGGCTGGTTTCGAACTCCTGACCTCGAGCAATCCGCCCGCCTCGGCCTCCCAGAGTGCTAGGATTACAGGTATGAGCCACCGCGCCTGGCCTAGGGTTTCACTCTTGTTCAGGCTGGTCTTGAACTTTTGACCTAGAGCAATCCTCCTGCCTCAGCCTCCCAGAGTGTTAGGATTACAGGCGTGAGCCACCATGCCCAGCCCTAATGTTCTTTTAATATAAACTTTTTTTTTAAAAAAAATCACTTTTAAAGCAATGGTTTGATTACAAGTAGAAATAGTAATATACACAAAACATGTGAAAATACCAATTACAGTAAAGCTACGTGAATGGACACTTTTGATTTGGAAACAATTCCCAAGGCCAGTGTCAGGCAAAAATTCAGGAAGTGCTATCTTTCAAACATGTGAAGTTGTCACGCCTTAAAAGCAAGCTGTCTTAGGGACTTCAAAAGTGGCTCTAGTCATGACAAAGACACTGACGTAAAAGACACAGAAAAGGAGTGAGGGAAAAAACCCTCAGCATTTCTAAATTAATATTTTATATGTTACGCCATTAAATATTTATGTTAAGCTAAGTAAACATCATAAGACAACATGGTATGTCATCCACATTTTCTAAAGTTTATAAATTCCAGTGGCTCTAAAAATATTTTTAGAGATAGTCTCTGTGAAAACGGGGGATACAGGCTTATGCTCAGATACATCTACACTCCATTAAAATACAGCTAATAGGCTACTGTTGGCTAAAATGGAGACTGATAGCCTTCCATAAGAAGTGCGGCATGAAACGTGGAGACAGAAGTCAGACTGCAGGGGATTTAGGAATACACTCATTTTAAGCACATAGTGGATAAAGAAAGATGTAATTCAATTTGTTTGTGATGGGGGAGCAACATAAATATTTGAAAGGGAAAACATATCAGGGAAAGATGTTCTCTTCTCGCACGTCCTGAAACTCAACAAATACGACACTTGCTGATCAGGAGGAACGGGGCAAGGATAGAGAGTCTGAGGAATCTACTAAAGGGCTCTTGCCCAGCTCACAAGGACAGGTTGTAACGGCTCAGGAACTTAGGGACCGACATCCAATTTTACCTTTGCTCTCTGTTTATTTTTAAGAATTTCACTTTATTAACACTGTTTCCTTTCGCATATACACAGAAAAAAAAGCAGTATATTTTATGAAACATTATTTTGTCATGCAATTTACATAAAGGGATTAAACTAGTAGATGCATCACTTTTAATAGGAAAGATGAAGCATGATTTAGCTCTTCACCATTCAGGAATAAGTGATATATTCTTCCCCAAGTTACAGAATAAGTGATTCAACAAATAAGAATTCACCTTTAGACAAATTATTTAACTTAAAAATATTCTGCCTAAATTACAGCAATTCATTGGTCACCATAAGGCAAAACTAATTTAAATAATGTATATGGACAAAGCATCTTCGGTACTCATTAAAAATTAAATTACCAAATGCATAGCGTCTCCATTATACCTTGTCATGACAAATGAGTTATGTTTAAATGAGATACTATTTATAAAAACAACTCCTTCCCCTGGCGAAGGTTTACTTAACTTTTAAAGTTTTATTGGGCGATAACAATCACAGGGAAACTCAAATATATTAGACAAAGTTATGCAGCACAAATTTTTTTTTCCTAATCTGAAAAAAACATGACAGTGGATAGCACCAAAAAAAGGAAATGAATTTAATCACTTACCAAAAGGTGGAAGATCCTTTACAGGGACTTTCTTCCGAGAAGGGTACAGGGACACGGCAGGAACCTGCAGTCCCTGGTTGCCTTTATGTGGTGGTGGCGGCGGCTGGGGCTGTGGCTGGGGTTGTGCCTTCTGCTGTGACCCTGCCCTTGGAGCCACCGGGGAGGTCTCAGATTTGCCGGGCTTTTTGTCACCAGCATTCTTCGGCACTGAGGATTGTTTGGTTTGAAAAATAGAACAAAAGGATTTGGGACATTAGTGGCTGTGTGGAAGATAATTTTAGAACTGCATGAGCATTTTCTGTAGCTAGAATACTAAAATGCACATCTTTTCCTTTCTGTTGCCTACACAGAGTACAGAAATTGAGGGGGTACCCTAGTCACGTAAAATATTAGAGGCATGGCGGGACAAAGAGATTAACTTCATGAAATTAGCAATCTCAAAAGGTGATTATACTATTAAACACATAAATAAAAATAGAAAAATGTGCACAGTTCCATATGTTATATGTATATATTTAAAAACACAAACATGCGGCAAAATCTACAACAGGAAAATATCAGACATTATTTTTCTAAGACGTCCAAAATTCTTTGATGCATAAGGTCAGAAACCTACACACCAGGGTCGTGGCATTATTGCTTTACGTGGTACCTTAATTTGCTGCTGAGTGTTGTGTGGGCTAGGGGTGTCAAAGGCAGCAGGCACACCCAGATCTGTGCTCATCTGACCTGGTGGGCCCCACCCTTTTGGGGTGCCCATCCCTTTGGGAGTACCTTTGTGAGAAAACCAGGCATGCAAATGGGAGCCACATTGACCCATGTGCCCCTTGCATGTGTACTGGCCGGGTCAGGATGAAGCTAAAGCCACGGTTACCCCTGATGCGGCCACAGTGTCATCCTCCCCCGTGTCCCCAGGTGGACACAAGGGCTTGGCCAAGCACGGTGCTGCATGGCACTCAATAGTAGCGTTCAAGGGACAGGCGAGGATATCTCAGTGTTGCTATTCCTCCCGTTTGCACTAAGCTGCATTTTGTCACCACCCGTACCAGAGGAAACAAATCTGCATTCCAGCCAAAGTCTGCAGCCACTTTAAGGAAAAACTCACATGTGTTGGTTGCTGGCTCACACTGCAGCGATAATGTCTGAAGACTCTCCTCATCCATTTCTAGCTCCAAATTGGACAGGTACTGCTTCACTTTTCGAGCCATTTGGGCATCTTCATAAAGCTTTTTGGCATTGAGAAAGGAACTACGACGTACCCGCTTTTTATGGCCACCTGTCTGAGCAACATCTAGCACTGTTGCGTTTGTACTACCCTGGCTGAGAGACCTGGAAGATGAAAAGGTAGATATGCAGCTTGCTCTAGCACAGGATTATTTCATCTATTTAAAATGTGCCAAGACTTATATTAATATACATATTCCCTGTTCAAAAGATCACATGCCTCATTCCAGTAAGTATATAAAGGAATAATACAGAAAAACGGTTTTAGTTAAAAAAAAAAGTTATACATAATATACATAAAAATATGTATGTTTGGCACCTGTTCGGTTCCAACTAGGAAATTCTACTTTTCACCTCTATAGAGCATTCAAGGCGGTTCTCTTAAAGAAGCCAGCAAGTATTATATATGCAGAAGTTCATGCAAAAATATACAGCTACAATCCTTAAGGTTTACAATATTAAATATACTTCTCCCAAAGAGCATGTTTTAGCTAGATTTAAATAAAACTATCTGCAATTTCACAACTGTTTTCCTATCCCGTGGGGTGAATGTGGTGAGTTTTTACAGTAATATGGTCAATCTGTTAATAACACGGTCATGCAAATGTAAACGCACATGTATGGAAACTATTAATATTTAGCACATGAATTGTTAAGAATTATTTTTAAAAAGGATTGGTTTACACAGAATGAAAATAGTAGTTAGTTGAGCTGTAAAAAATTTGGTTTTAACACCTGCGGGCACCTTTCATATTATACATATTTACTTCTCACATATCTATGCAATTGTATTTTAATTGCATGATTTTTCCTTCTACTAGCCTCCCTCCCCCCTTCCCTCTACTTGGGGCTATTCCTGTTTCATGACATACAAATTGCATGAAAATAAAATTTGTCCTGGCCTACAGTTAGTTCCCCAGAACAACCAGCAATCATTTCACAGCTCTCGTGGATCATGACTTCAAAAGCAAAAGCCCCAACAGATTAAATTCGAAGTCAGTTTGCCATCTGAAATTCTGCTACAGCAAGAGGGTTAAGAAAAAAAAATGCAAAGCATCAGAAAATACAGCAGGTAAGAAAACAATGCAATGAGCAGAGTGAGAACCACATGTGGGTATGCAGAGTCTCCACCACTTACCCCAAACTCCGCCATTTCTTCTTCCTGTAAGTGAGGGCCATGGAGATTGAAGCGCGGGTGCAGAAGGAGAGACAGAGAGATAACAAGCTCAGAAAGAAAAGGCTAGACTTCTGGATAAGCAGTTCTAGAAGCACACAAACATTAAACTGCATAATTATCTCACACATACCACTTTACCAGAAATATTTTTCTGGCTCAAAAGACAAATATATTTAAATATTTTCTTTCTATAAGACGACTGACTTCTTTCTCTCCCTCACTGAATTCATCATTTTGGACCACACTGACAGCTGAATCCCATTGTGTGGATATTGAGACGCTACTGTTTGGGTTATTTACATATTTTAGTTCATACTACCAGTTATGAGTTTTAGCTCTCCATAAGTCAGTGTTCTGAAAAATAGACATATCATTGTGACTAATGTTAAATCAAAAATGTCTGAAGGACAAATTATTTTTACTAATAGTCAAAAGTGCACTTGGCGTAGAATAAGACATTTACTCCAGATTAGAGCTCAGTGGTGATTCTCAGCATGTCCTAATATAATTTCTGATATACTACAAATATAAACATTCAACTTTTTTTCCTCATTTGTTGGGAAGCTCTAAACTGAACCTTCTCTAATCCCACATGTGCCACTGAAGATGACACACTCACCGAGTCCTGAACATGAGGGCCGGGTCCATGTTAACTGAAGCCATTCGGCCCACATGACGAATTTCTTTTGCAATCATCCTTAGCTTCTCAAAGTTAACCAGCCCGTCAACTTTTGAGTCATTTCCTGTAATTGACAGAGAAGAAAAAGGAAATCACATGGCATTTATACTCTGCTGCTACAAGTGACAACAGAAATCCTCTACACCTTATATTTACCTTCATGAAGGAAGGTGAGATCTTTCTTGATAACTGGGAAGAGAGGGATTATGGGGGGTTGTAGGTTTTGACTATTGAGGACATTGCGATACTTTGCCATGTTTCTGGAGGGATCAAACAGGTCTTGCAGATCCTGAAATAGCTTTTCGTATTTATTAGGAAGTTTTTCCCAGGTCGTTCGCAGTCTTGCCACCGGGGCCAGGTTTAGACCACTGAGGGGAGGGAAAAGAAAAGTGGTGTACAATTAAATGGTCTCTTATGAAATGAAGGGAGTAAAGTAGTATACAGATTAAGTACTGACATATAACACCTCTGCAAGTGTGTTTTCTATACATAACAATTCACAGGAGGAGGCACAAGGGACTCGCAAGGGTAATTCTGGGTAACGAGAATGGCTGATAGAAGTAGAGCCAGGGTCAAGCCAAGGGGATATATTCTTTTCTTCTCTTTTTTCCCTCTTCATCTGCCTCAAAACCACTAGGACATAAGTACTGATGCTTTGTCTCCATCCATACAGCCGTACATGGCCCACAGCAGCCGTTTGATAAAACAAACTAGGCAAATATCCAACAGTAACAAAATAAAACAAAAGCTATAATAGCAATGAGAGTATAGCCAAACTCCCACAGAGAAAATGGCTAATTTAATAATCATGCTTAACATCAATATAGCTTCTTGTTTCCATCTGTACTTTCTTCCAACCTCAATCTAAGGACTTAAAAGAAAATTAACATTTATTGGGCATCTGCTTTGTGCTGTCTGACGGAACTCCACATACATCACATCATTTCATTTTCTGGACAATTCTTTGGGGTATTGTTATTTTACAGAGAAATAAATGGTGTTCAGAGAAGTTCAAATTATTTGCCCAAGGTCACAGAGCTAAAAAATAAACAAACAAACAAGTGGGAGATACAGATTTTTCTGGGCTCCAAATCAGCATATGACGTATTTTAGATTAAGGATTAGATTAGGATTCAGAGCAAAAGAATTGTTCATGATGAGTCAATTAAAACCTACTGCATTTATACTAATTATGTAGTGTAACTGGATTGATACTTATTTTAAATCTATAAACTGAATTCAATCTTAAGAAAAATATGCTCTCCTACCTGATGATTGCAAACATTGAGTTAAAATTCTTGCACTCCCTACAGTGCAGTGCTATCTTGATGAAATGCTTAATGATCTTCATCCTCTTCAGCTGGTTTGTCTCTCTCAGAATTTCAGATGCTACCCAAAATGTTTCCTGGTTAATGACTTCTTCAAATTTCTTCAGGTTGGCGCAGCCGGTCTTTGATTTGAGTTTAAATAAATCATCTATGTATTCAGTAGGTTCAATGTTGCGGAACAGTTCGAAATTGCGCATAGAGAGCTGCGTGGCAACTTCGACTGTGCTGAGCTGAAGTAGGGAGATCTGGCTCTCTCGCAACAACTCCTGAGCATCTTCGTCCGAACAAAGCGTTTCTGTTTCCATGTTGTTTTTCAGATAATACCTATGAAAACCAGAAACATACCAAATTTAAAGCCTCAGGAGCAGTCTCACGATATTCCTGGAAAGAATAATGCTACTTTTTACGGAAAGTTGGAGAGAACCCTGAATTGAAGATGTAAGGATTCTGTTCCACCAAGGCAGGGAGTGCAGGTGCTGTCTCAGTCGCCAGATCACAGAGCCACCTATCCCGAAGTTGGTGACGGAAACAAAGAGATCACAGGGAATTTCATTTGTACCAGTTATAATTCCTTTCTCCCCTTTCCTTTCCTGCTTTCTAAATTATTTTGTCTTTTTGGCTGAAAATGACAGAAAATAGCTATAGCTTGTATTTTCAACTGAAACAAGGGAATAGGACCTATAGCAGGAAGCAGAAAGTTCAGGCACAGGCCATCACTCTATTTTCCCAGGGTGAAGAGAGTATCTGTGACTACTGATGGGTCCAAAATGGATCAATCCAACTTTATTTAATCTAGATTTACATGAAAACCCTACATGTAAGTAGGGCAGGTATAATCCTTATTGTTGTCAGGATAGGAAACAGAGGCTCCTAAAGATTAATGGGTAGTTAATGCCAGCACAGGAACAAGAACTCAGGGCTGGTGGCTCCTTTCCTTTTCTGAACAACTGGTTGAAAATAGCATTCAGCTGTTTGCCTTGTGATTTTTTTGGGGGGGGAGGGGGGGAGCAGTACATAGATGCTTTTTGTAAGCCAATTCCATAAATGAAGAAACAAACAGAATGAGCATAGTGGGGGGTCCAGCTAAACTAATTTTTTTTTTGCATAATTCACCAAGGCAAATATTTAGGATGGAAAACATATACCTGTCATAAATTCACAGATTTAATGTTTTCCATTTTGATTGCTCATGAGCCAATGACATGGACCCATCTATGACTTTCTTGAATAATGAATGTGAATCATGAACCTGCAGCTCAATGGAGATGTAGAACTCTGTCACAGTTACAGATATATCAATGTATAGTCAAATGATAATTGAGAAAAACTAACTTACTAAAACAAAACTATCTGATCATGTTTGGAAAAAGAGTGAGGAAGAATAAGGAAGTTATAGTTGATGGCAAGAAAACAGAAGTTTTGAACGGATGAAATAATATCTATAATATGAAAAAGTCAAGTACAATGAAACAGTACGTATGGTAAGAAAAATAGAAAAAAATGTGACTTACATAACTACATAACTTTTAGTTAGTGTAGAATCTAGTCACTATATGAGAGCCAAAACTTAACTATTTTATTTTTCAACTTTCATTTATTGTGATTTGAGGATGAAATTACATACACCTAACAATGGAAATAACATTCAAGGGAATGAAAAAATCAGGTACAATGTTTTCTTGCAAATAACATGATACAAGTACTTATGCAGCAAAGGACCAAGCTGTAGCAACCAAAGTTTGGTTTCAGAGTTAAGAAGCGTATTTTATAGTGTGGTATATAATAATAGGCAGTCTTAGCCAACCACATTGTCATAGATGTCTCTGACTAAACTAATGAAGCTCCTAGAAAAGTTAGGTACGCATGAGCAAATGATACTAGAATGTCATTAGAAAACGTGTTTGTGAACGTACGTATTTCCAAGGAAAAGACAGCATCAGGGTTTACCTGTGACTCTACATCAAGCTTACTCGACCTTTCTACCAGCCCACTATTCTAAAGCACAACCTCGAGAAGTCACTGCTAGCACTTGGAGAGTCAGTAACAACTTTCAGGTCATAGTGCCTTTGAACAAGTTCTTAGGGAATCTTTGTCAGGGTCAGTAGTAGACTGTGTGCATTTACTTAGATACAGCAATTCTTGGTGAAAAGGAAAAAGAACCTTTTTAATCTGCAGAGGCATTTATTCGTTTAAGATACCCTTTAAAATTGTTTATCTCCTTAGACTTTGATGTGGGTTTGAAGAGTGGGTGAAGAAATCCAGTAAGATAGATAATGTATACCTTCCACTCAGTTGTATTCTATCAGCAAGTTTGGAAAGTTGATCTGGAAGTCTTCTCTGTTTGATTACTCCCTCGGGTGTGACAGAGACCTCACATAGCGAATATTGATCCGGGGTAGCAGTAACAGCAAACTCCCTGATAGCCTGAATGACCACCTCCTTCGCTGTAGTGTCCTTACTGATCATGATGTATCGGCTTTGCTGATCAGCCTTAAAAACCCTTAGTACTTGATCTGGCAAGTCTGGGGGAAAGAAAAGGCACACATAAGTAGAAAGGAATTTAATATATGATAATGCAATTAAATAGAGTAATCTGGGTGGGGAACTAAAAACTTTCCTTAAAAAGGTAATGATGAAATTTCACCTCTCCCTTACTATAGCTCTTCTTAATAGATTAAAAAAAGAACACATCTTCCATCTTCCCCTATAAATAACTAAATGATCTAGAGACAATTGCAAACCCATCAGTACATAACAGCAGCCCACAAGACTGTCATGTTGGTACAAAAAAAAAATCAAAATTTAAAACTAGAGTAAATTTTTATTATATTGAAAAATCCATTAAGTGGACCTAAAATATACCTTTTACTTTATTTACTGGATAAGACTTAGTAATAACTGCATGGTATGTGTTATCTTCATTTTATGAAAGAGGAAACAAGTCTGGAGAGATTAATTTGCCCATGGCCATGTCAAAATAGTCTGCAGAATATAAAAAGAACTGGTTCCAACTGCTTGAAATTTAAGGTTCATCTTGACTCTGGGCATCTGATATAATCCATGCCAAACCAAGAAAGATATATATATAGCATTACCATTATGTTAGAAGGGAAAACAAAATAAGTATTGGTGATGCTTACCAGGAGTAGCACTAAAATCTAAAATGCGATGATGTGACTGCAATAAATCAGGATTACTGGATGATAAGGTTCCACTGACAGGTAATGCAGTTGGGATGTGCTTTGTCTGCCTTAATCCTACTATGCTGTCATCTTGAGACTGACCAATCCCAATATCACTGAACAAAGAGGAAAATTAGAAAATAAGTTATCAGTGAGTTAAAAAGTTATACGCTATCACCATATAAAGACACAGACCATAAACAAACCATACTCTACAAAACTTACAGTTAATGTAAAAAATCTCATTAATAAATTTGGTTGAAAATTATAAAAGCAACTACTGTTTAAATGTATCCAATTCATTTTGCTGTTTCTTAAGATCTAGAATCTATTTTTTTAACTAGATGAGCCATAATATTAGTAGCTTCTTAGTAGAAAATACATTCAACAAAAACATAAGTTCTAATTTCTCATGAAAATGGATTTAAGAAAAAGCATGTTACAAAGAAGGCATTTAGTTGCACTCAACTGATAGTTCTGCATCAGAATGAGAAATTGTTTTATAATTTGATCTTCCAGACCTGAAGAAACTGAGTAAAATGAAAAGAGGGGAAAAAAATCCAAACTGTCCCCATTTTATTCTCCATTATTTTAGAGGAAAAAAGTGAGATCACTATGAAGTCAGATGTAAGGATACTCTGACACAGACATTATTTCTTAATTATACACAGCATAAAAAATCAGTGGTGCATGGTGACATTTCCTAGTATCAAAGAAAAGGCAATGAAAATCCAATGACTCACTTTTAATTCCCTCCTCAAATTTTCTAGTTACACATTTAAATTCCCAGAGAAATACTGGTGGATAGATATAAATTCTTTTCCATTTATAAAACACCCATTACTGTGACCAACTCTTGAAACATGATTTAATAGTACATAAAAATTATTTCTAGTTTTGAAGAGTCAAACTGTTTCTAAAACAAAAGATCAAGCAAAGTAATAACCATACACACACAAAAACAACTAGATCACAAACAAATGGTTGGTTATAGATCTAACTAGTTTCTATAAACACCTCGAAATAAGAAGCGAGAAAATTATACTGAGGTTGGGATTTAAACTTAGGCATCATAAATAAAATGAAGATATTTAATATTTATTATGTTTTCATATATTAGGGCTTGATCATAATACCTACTATTTTGAGTGGCTGTGCTAAAAAAAAATCTAGCCATATTCCTTCTTTTTGCTTTTTTTTGGAAAATGGAAATTAGAGAGGCAAATAAGCAAGGACAAAAACTTTCTTTTAAAGTCAAGACACAAATTAAAATCAAGTCTGTTGACTTATTCCTTATTTACTCTGGGTTTAACAGTCTTTCTCTCCAGCGTCTTAGCTTCTGTAATACTGATGAGGTTTGAAAGGAAAAAAACAAAACCCAACAATACATTACACCTAGATTTCTTTGACTTACTAGTTTAGCAGCTTTGTAAAAAAAAAAAAAAAGAAAAAAATTTTTTTCATAAACATGGTGATTTCTAGAAAAGCTCAAGTAGTAGCTAGTATTAAACCAAGTCTATTACCAATATAATGGATCCCACAGTTTACTGAGCCTTCCCTTAAATATATTTATTATATTCATTTCTTTCGGTGTCAATGTAACTAATTGTCTTTTCTTTTCCCTTGTCTAGCTTTTGAGTATCTCTTTAGAGAGATGTATTTAGATACATACAGAACAAAATTATACATAGTATTCTCATACAGTGAGCCTTGCCAACATCCTGTGCTGTGGATAGATTACATCCCAGTTCTTATACGTCACATTCTATTAATACTTGCCAGGGTCATGGTGACTTTCCTTTTTGTTTTTTTTTTTTCCCCCTTAAGGTTCATATTTAACTCTTGGTCAAGTATGACTCTAAGATCTTTTTTTTTTTTTTTGTTATTGTGCTGCTAATAATTCTACATTTAGGTAAGTTTTTTTTTTCATCCTTTTAAAAATAAATTTTCCTTCAAGAAGGGTCATTTTAAATATCGAATCCTATTTTCTGTAAATGCCAGCTGCCCTAAGCCGTTGTCTCTTAGAAACTTACTCAATATAAACATACCCTTGAAGTTATAAATAAAACCATCATACTCACTCCTTATCCTGCAACAGAAGACTGCACAGAAGTCTTCTTTAGCTGATACAAAACTACCAATCATGACTCTATAGTTCAATGGTGGACCACACAAGTTTGACTCTTAGCTCATCAGTAATATATTTTAAATCATATCTCGCTAATTTGTGGATTAACATTTTATCTAACATGGAATTTTTTCTTTTTCGAAACAGGGTCTCACCCTGTTGTCTGGGATCCCTATGTTGTCCAGGCTGGCCTTGAACTCCCGGCCTCAAACCATCCTCCTGCCTCTCAGCCTCCCAAAGCGCTGGGATTACAGGCATGAGCCACCATGCCCAGCCTCTCTTATATCATTGTAGTTTGAGGAATATATAATTAAATGTGGCATATTGAGTTACTTAACACCAAAAAAAAAAAAAAAAAAAAATTGACAGGCTGGGCAGGTGTCATTTTAACACAATAAAATAAGGTACAGAAAATTTACACAGACACTCACTTATATGGTTTCTGTGGCAAGATACTGATTCGAGTCTTGTCGAGTATCTTTTTTAGCTTGTTCCTTCCTCCAACGGTGTTGGCTTTACTTTTCTTATTCACTTTTTCAAGTCCTATCACCTGTTCCACATCCACAGCGAGATCTGGAATGGAGTAGCGGCTGGCCTTTTTGATGTCACCAATTTTAGGAAGGTGAGGGGCACCATTTCTTTTCTCTTCTGACAATCTTGTTAGAAGTTCTTTAAATACTAAAATAAATAGAAAAACCACAAAGTGCTAATTATAAGAAATCGAAAAAACGCCAAAGCAATGGTGGACTTAGAAATGTATGAGAAGCACAGACTTCAGCTATCAAAATTGCAATCCTGTAGAAAAAACTACTGCCGTAAATGAATGACATCAAGAATCTGTTTCGTATATTGCTCTACCAGAATTAGTTTAAAAAGTAGTACATGCTTCAATCTATAGGCACTTTATTTAGTATTTATCAATAAAAGATTTTATCTATCAATAAAAACATATTAAAAATAACTTTATGGTCTTCAAATCAGATTTTGACTTGGATCTAATCTATGCATTTTACTACAGTTTGTTCTTACATTTGAAATATTATTTATAAAAATGACTTTTTTTCATTCAATAACTAAATATATTTAAAAAAAAAAAAGACCAGGAGGAGAAAAATGAAAGTAGGTAATAATACTTACCAAATAAATTGGTTTTCACAGTGATAGATAAATGTGTGTTATTTCTAAGAATCTCCATGGCTTTTGACAGCTGAATATTTTCAAAGTTTTGACCATTTACTTCTAGTATCTAAAAATGAAATTGTAAAATTAATGTCAGTATCACAACAAACTGAAGGAAAAAAAGACACCAAAATTCACCCTTAAATCTGGATTTAGAAATAGCGTACCTGATCTCCACGTTTCAAGCCAGCTTCAGTTGCTTTGCTACCTGAATCTACACTGTCAACAAAGATTCCAAACCCCTTTTCAGAGCCTCCTAGTAAGATAAAAGGCAAAGGGGATTCTCGGGATGGTTTTGTTAATGTCATCAATCTTCTTTTTGCTTTAGCTGCACACGCAATATTTAACAGCCTTAGATGTCCACCCATTTTCTGTAAGAGTTCAGAAAGAGTGGTGTCAATTCAAAGACAGGCTGAATAAATGAAATTAAAGCTGATTTTTTGGAAAGAAAAAAGAAATCACAAATATTACCTCTCTTTCCAGATTATTTTCAAATTCTTCTAAAAATCGAGTCATTGCAGGATCTCCTTCAAAGTCATTGAAGTGATTATTCACCCACAATAATACTACCCGTGTAACCTGAAAAATCAATTATTTTCAATAAGTTTTCTTCTTCATAGTGCTGAAAATGTGATCACAGTCATTTTGAAAAAGATATCTAACTTTCAATTTACCCAATACTACTGAAAATAACAATAAAGCCTTCAACAGGCATTATATTTTTGTAAAAAGATGACCTTCTGAAAATATATATTTATACTTTGAATTTAGACTATGTTGCTTTGCCAGAAAGGGTTTTGAATCTGTGAAAGTATTTAACTTATATCTTGCTTTACTTTTAAAATACATTTGAAACAGATCAAAATAAAAGCAAAGGTATAATAAAACCAAACCAGGTTAATACAAAAGACAGAAACTGAAAAATGAAAGTAGAAGAATAAACTAGACAAAGAGAATGAACAGTATTAATAAGCCTAGAAAGATCTATATGGGAATAGGTTGTAAAAGGAAGGAGATAAGGCAATGTAGTTTATCATCCAATCTGGCCTTGACAGATCTCTCCAGAGCTGCTAAAGATGGTCTCTAGTCTCCTTAAAATTATATTACCGGAGCCTACAAGCACCATTGGCTGTCATGAAATGCTGTTTTGGTGCCAATTTAAAAATTGTGACCTTTGTCTGGTGTGCACTGTCTACCACACTAGAGAATGCAGATTCCCATGGAATCCAGTTATTTGGTTGTTTTTATGTATTCCCAATACAATTAAAGTTTAAGCATTTGGTGGCCAATTTACTGGCCTTGGCATTTAAAGAATAAAAAGACATTTCTAGGGCTGAACTTAGAAATGTATAATAAGAACTAATATTTGCATCACCTTATCTTGTTTTTTTTTTTTTTTCTTAAAAAGCACATTCTTGTATTAAATTAATCTGAATATAACTGGTGGAAAAAAATATACATTAAAAGTATCTTCAGGTTTACATTTTAATATTTTATATTTAAGAGCCAAGACAATATAGTTCCAACCTTATCCCTGAGGCTCGGGTCATTAAACCACTCCAATAACTTTTTGCCCACTTCCATTGGGCTAGAAAGAAAAGTCCTATAGGTCAGCAGGAAGTCTTCTATGAATGTTGGATCTACCACAGAATGTTCTTCCACCAAATGCATCGTTAACCTTTCTGAGGTGCCCTGTAACAAATCAAAGGTTTAATCACTACCCTGAATATATAACATTTATATGGTATCTTGATTTCAAACCTTCAACATAAAATGAACTGGGTAGCAAAACACAGATAATAATAAAACTATTCATCAAGAAATACAAAGTTTTTTCATAACTGCTAAACTTTAACAGATACTATGCTTAAAAATGATAAAAAAAAAAAAAAAATCAGGAGGTCAGGAGTTTGAGACCAGCATGGGTGACATAGCAAGACCCCATCTCTACAAAAAAAAAAAAAAAGAAAAAGAAAAAAGAAAAATTAAAAAATTAGCTGGGCATGGTGGTGCATGCCTGTAGTCACAGCTATTCAAGAGGCTGAGGCAGGAGACTGCTTGAAGCCAGGAGTTTGAGGTTGCAGTGAGCTCTGATTCTGCCACTGCACTCTAGCCCAGGCAATAGAGCAAGACCCTGCCTCAAATTAATTAATTAATTAAAAAAAATAAAAAACAAAAAATGACAATAACCTAAATTGCCACAAGTGATACTACCAAAAAAATTCCTTTGCATGGGAAGCAGGGGTGATTCTTTGTCTTACCTTGATGACAATGTGTCCCTTTCTTGTTCCAGTTCGATCAAGTTCTCGATGTTCTTTCACCATAACAATCTCTCCTTCCTCTTCAACTTTTTGCATGTTCTTTTCCACTTGGTTGAGAATACGGCAATAATCTTGCTGGGCTATGCAGACGAACTGGAATGAAACATAAGTCACATGTTAATGATAAAGTGCTTGCAAAAGACCTAGCAGTACCAATAATTCAGTGTTTTAATTATTTAAAACTGACATTTTTCCTTGTCTTTCTCATACTTTCTAAATTAATGCAGTAATGAACTTTAATCAGACTTCTCTACTTTTAATGCGTTTCTTCCTTGGTCAAGAAAGTTTCACTTTTAGAATATTTATGTGTATTTTACATTCAAAATCCTAACAATTGTAAAACTCAGAAGACAAAATTAGAAGCTCCTTTCATGCTTCTTTCAGTTAAAAATACTCAGGGTGGATGGGGGAAGAGAGGAACCCTAGGGGGACAGATACAAAAACTTAATTATCATTTAGTGAATTTAAAAAATTTAAAGATTTAAAAAGCAACAACTTTAAATAAGCATGGTTTTAAATAAAAAATACATTCAAAGATACCTAATGGAGTGGATATATAAATTTGCTAGCTACATTGATGAGACACCATTTTAGAAAGCATGTTCAGGGAAGGTTACAAAATAAGCCACAAATCTGTTATAGCTTCAAATCATCAAGTGTAATCATTGCTCTTAAAGAAAAAGTTAACCATATGCATATCAATTAATCACTCCTCCACGACCCCAAATATTTAAAACTTCAGAGCTTAGGACAAACAATTCAAATAATTACATTTCTTAGTAGTTTTAAAGAAAGTTAAGAATGAATTATAGAAACCACCTATTATTCAAATTCACCAGAGGCCAGTGAGAAGAACAGACACTTTAACAAATAAAAATTACTTTCCTTAAATTTTGAATAATTTATTCTGACTTAAGAAATCATTTGGGAATGGAAATAATTATGGCATTTCTTTTTCTCCTTTACTATGAAGAAGATGAAAAATAAAGAGGTAGTTAAATTAGATTGTATATAAGATAAAATAGCATTCAACCATCCTAAATCATGTAGAATTGTGGCTTTACTGGTCCTATTAAATTTTTTTAAAAGATACAATGCTAAATATTGTAATAATAGTCATAATGACAAGAACATCATCGTCATGGTCACATCGTATTATAGTAGCCATGCAGGAACTTTCTCAATTTGTTCTCCTAGTGATACCATGAGGAAGGTACTATTATCCTTGCTGTATGGATGAGGAAACAGCCTCCTAATTACATGCTGGCTAATTTTTAAAATTACATGCACATACAAAATTTTGGAGGGAAATATAATAAAATGTTATTATTATTTCTGAGCAATGCAAATTATGATCAACTTTCCTTTTATTTAATGTACTTTTCTATATTTTCCATACTTTCTGCATAATCAATAGTTTTTTTAAGAAGTAGAACAGCAGGTCATAAGAGAAACAGCATATTGCAATATCAAATTTCTCCCATTGAGCTGGCTGACATAATCTCACTAATTTTTCTATTAGGCATTTAAAATTCAAAAAGGCTTTTTTAGTATGTTATTATTATGCACAGTCTAATTAAATTTTTAAAAATACCTTTTAAAAAAACCCATTTCCATAACACTGACCACAGGCGTGTATGTTTTGAAAAATATGATCCTTAGTCTCTTAACTTAAAATTATCTTTATTTCTATTTATAGAGCAGCAAAATTGTTCCCCAAATATGTATAGGAGATTTAGAAAGGTTTTATTGCCCAATAATTTTAGGTGTTCTTCTTTACACTTAGTTTTAGAGAACATAATTAAATCATCATTTCTCATTTATCCTCTAAAAAAGAAATATATTCCAGAGTTCAAATGAATAAGTAGATAGATAGAAAAATACTTTTTAAAGAGAAATATGCTAAAATTAATCTTCTTGACTAAAGATTTTAAAGAAATTAGAATAAATTTGATTTGAAATTCTTAGTGTCTAGACAGACATTTTGGCATTTCTTCTGTAGCAAACTGAAATATCATCCAAAAAGAAAAAAAAGATACCAAACTGAATTACTAATGTGGCCATATAGAACTGCTATCTAGAAAGAAATAAATTTTAATTGAAAATATTTATCTTTTTAAAATAGAAACTTATTTTTACTTTAAGAAATTTGTAGATCTAACGTGAAATTCACAGATAACATTTTAACGGGTATGATGAAGTCTGTTGAAAATCTGTGAATTGTTTTAGTGAGGTTTTAGACTTTCAGACACTTACATGAAAGTACTGTGTAGTCTTAGTACCCTGAGATGAAATAAAAATTCAAACAAGATTTCATTTATAAAAGGTCAATGGCAGTTTGTGTCACAGGATTATTTTCCTTTGGGCACATGACATAATAATTTATACTTAGGTAAAAAATGAATGAACTTAGGTAAGACAATGAATGAAATAAAATCAAATTTCAATCAACATATAGTATAGTCAACTTTCAATTTATTCATAGCAAACTGCTTTTCTCACCCAATACTACTTTTTAAATCCAAAATGTCATTAGCTCCCATGATCCCAGGAAAAGTTGAGTCTGACACAGATTTACCTTAAGAGGTTAGATCTGTTTAAACCGGCATTTTGTAGTTTGTAAGGGAAGTTCATACCTAATTGTTCACATAGGTTTCCAAGTGCTCATTCCCCACTGAAGGGTGGAGGGCAGGGCTAAGCAATGCCTGGGTGTCACTGGCAGGCCTAAGACACAGGCAGTGGAGAAGGAAAAAAGGGAGAAGAAGAAAGGGAGTAGGAGGGTGGAAGAGGAGGAAAGGGGAAAAGGGACACAGGAGAAGGGAAAAAGAAAAGAAAGAGGTATATATGGGGAATAGAAAACCATCACCAAGTGCTTGGTATAGAAGATGTCTATACCAAGTTCAGACCTTTGTCCTTCACACCAAACAGGGGAATAAGAATAATCACAAAGAGGGAGAACTGGAAGAGGAGAATGCAAAGAAGGGACCCAAAACACAAGTTTGAGCATATCATGGGATCCAAATAAATGGAATAAATGTTAAATTTAGTCCATTCACCTTTGTGTTGTTAGGCTTAACATGAGCTCAACCATATATCACATTACCTAATATTCATTTTGGAACTCACTGGAATATAAGATAATGAAGGCCAATCCTCATTAGGCAAAGCTGCTTTTTCTTGGTAAAGATATGTTTTAAAATTTTATTCAATAGCTGTGGATTCCTTACAATGTGGGCAACAGAATGATAGAAAATTACAGAGGCTATTTTATGGAGGAATAAAAATACAATTCTCACTGTTTCCTTTACCTCCCCTAATTACAAGTCCCACAATTACAAGAGGATAAGCAGCTAGCATTTGTATTTTCTGACAGATATATGACATTTTAACAGAAATGCCCCAAAATGCTATCCCAAACAAACACTTACATTAAAATGTCCAAATTTGTTCTCCATCCCTGTAAAGGGATCCCTCAGGGATAAAATGTCAGGCCTGAGCAGAGGGGTCAGTGGAAGCACAGGAATGAAATCCCTGATTTAACATGTCCCTTTTACAGTGGCTGGAGTGGAGCAGAGAGGAGACACAGAGATTTTCTCTAACAGGTACCTTGCTCTTGACCTTGTTTATAATTAATTTTATTTCAGGAGCTTCAGGCCATATTAAGAGCTACAGGAGTCTACATATCTTTTTTTAAAATTAAGATAGAATATCACTCTGTTGTCCAGGCTAGAGTGCCAGGGCATCAGCCTAGCTCACAGCAACCTCAAAGTCCTGGGGCTCAAGTGATCCTCCTGCGTCAGCCTCCCGAGTAGTTGGGACTACAGGCATGCACCACCATGCCTGGCTAATTTTTTCTATTTTTAGTAGACAAGGGGTCTCGCTCTTGCTCAAGCTGGTCTTGAACTGCTGACCTCAAACAATTCTCCTGCCTTGGCCTCCCAGAGTGCTAGGAATACAGGTGTGAGCCACTGCGCCCGGCCCAGGAGTCTACATTTCTTAATCAGAGTTATCTTTTGAATTAAACTGTACCCTTGCTGACTATCTGTGTTTCTTACCAATCCCTCATTCTGTAAACAGAGTAGACCCTCTTCCCTAACATCACCCCTACCTCCCCTTCCTTTCTCAGAGGTCCTAGATAGTTATGTTACTTGGTACATTTGGTGTGACATAAGCTCTCCGTAATACTCAGATAACTGTTTTTATCAATTATTCTGAAACATTTCTATGCCTCCTCATACATCATTTCAGTCCCATAATCACAAAATTTCTAACAAAAAGACTTGACCAACTAAGATATGTTAATGTAACAGCTAGAATTCTGAAAAACGAAATAACTTTTACTTGCCCTTTAAGGACAGAGATTCTGACTCAAATGCCATGGTGATCTCAACATCGAAAGGGGTCAGGGAAGAACCGATAAGACAGTAGGATGGAAAAACCTTTAACAATTTTCTAACTTGTTTTTGACTCTGGTTTTATTATTTTTTGGAGTACCATTCCAGAGTTAAAATATCACATAAACCCTTTTAAATGCACATTCCCAGGGCAAATAAAGACTTAAGGATTTATCTACCATTTTGTTTTCCTATATATATCAAATAATTGAGAGTTGACTATATAGAGAATGTTTTTCTGGTGTTACATCTTTAAAACAATGAATTCCCAGTTTTTTTCCTTTTTGCTTGCTGAAGGAATTATCTAGCAAAATTATTTTGATTCTATAGGTAAGATTATTTTATGTATAGCAATGGTCATTTTTCTTTTGGTAAGTAAACTGCCAACAATGAATATTTAAATCATTATATAGTGATCTGACACTATAAAAATTCAATTTTTTTTTAGAATAAACCATTATCAGATGTCTTTCAAACTGCAGACTAATAAATACAATAAGCACTTTACATTAATTACTCTAAGTTAAATTTTTGATTATTACTTTAAAACATTTTATCTTTCAAAGACAATATTTTTAAAAGACACAAATTATAAACATTTAATAACAAAAGTACCTTAAATTTCTCAGTAATACAGAGGCTACCCATTAAATCAATCTAATTAAATGTCACATTTGGTCTTAACATTTTCTCTAGTCTATTATTAAATGCTTTTAAATAATGACTATTAATATAACATCAACATTATTATTTTGTTATCAAATATTTTTTATTACCAATTATTTGACTAGCAAGTTTTTCTACTGATTTATACTATCATTAATTTGAATGACTCTTCTAAAATCAATTCTTTATAGGTATTTAAGTAAAAACATTGTATAACTGTACCATATCATCTTTATTAATGTTCTTATTTGTTTTCATGATGTGCATTTACTTCCACATTTTTGATGGATTATTATTATTGATGGAAATTTTTAAATGCTATATTTATAGAACACTTTTTTAAAAAAACAGAACACATAGTTCTGTGGAATTCAAGTGACTTAAATGGAAACTAATTTTTAATTTTCTAAGGCATGATAAGACTAAAAGTAATAGTTCTATATTAAAATTTTACCTACATATTTACATAGACAGAAAAATCTTACCACAACTGCATATAAGTATTCTTTTTCAAGAATAGAATATACATTTTTAATGATATTTTATACCTGGCAGTCATCCACCTTTGTTCTCATTACTCCTTTCATGTATTCTTTGTCCATGGTAGGAGAAACACCAAAACTATTTCCCATACATAATATTTCTGCTTTTCCATCTGGATAAGTCACTTCTACAGAACCATTGAGAATCACTGACCAGGAGTCCAGCTAATAATAAAAAAAAAAAAAAAAGAAAGAAAAAAAAAGGAAAACAAAACAGAAAATATAACATCATGATCATATAGTTGTAAGTGCTAGAATGGTCCCCAAAAAATGATTTAGCACATCTTCCATTTTTTAAGATGGAACAAATAACAAGTGAAAGAAGCCATTCAACAAGTTCACAAAACAAAGACTAAAACACAACTACATATCTACATATTTTCATATGCCTAGCACAGAGTATGTATCATTGTGCCCTTTTAATTTGGCTTTGGATATTCTTCTTTAAAATGACATAAAACAAAAAATTTCTACTGTTCCCCGAAGCACATGTAAACAAGATAACATAACTATTGCCTCAATAAGAATATCATTTTGTCTGACAAAACACATTATATTTATGAACATTTAAGTTGAAAACTGAAAAGTTAATATCAAAAAATTTCTATCAGTATTGTACTATTATAATAAATACCACAAATAATGAAAAATAAAATTAATGAATTTGGAATTCTGTGACGTAAGTGTATCATGTATTCCTGATTTATTCAAACTTGTTGAGTTTTTAAAAGAAATAAAAAAGAAATGGGTTGTTCAACTGCTGTATTGAGAGATCCTCAAAAAGAAACTTTTTAAGTGGTAGAAGTATGTACCAACCTCTTCACCATCATTCAACACTATGGTTCCTGCTCTTTCCACCACGGCAAACACCATCACGGCACAGAGTTCCCGTCTTACCGACATTGTCATATTGGCAAAAGCAGGCAACTGGTGCATAAATTCCAAGAGTTGCTCTGAAAAGCAAGAGATAATTCTAGTTAAAACCACAACTATTATTGAAAACAAGTATTCAAAAAGAAAATGGTTCTTCTAGTCCTACAATTTTGCCTATTGAGAAACAGACTGAAGTATCGTCAGGACAAGTTGAACTTCTTGCAGGTATATATACACAAACAATTCCGTCACCATGGAGATGACAGTTGATTCAGAGGCAGCTGCCAGTTTACAGCATCATTCAAATTCTAACGGTACAGAAGAAAGCACTAAACCGCCAATGAGAAATTTCAGTTGAAAATGAACTGTGATCTTATTAAGAGCTTAAAATGAAATGGAGCTCTGAGAATTTTCCCATAAGTTGGTAGGACCATTCCAGTGCCTCCTGGGCAGGTAAATGCCTAAAAACATCAGAAGTAACTACCTTTAATTCAAAACGGATATTTTCTATGGATAAGAAAAGATCTACAAAAATTAACTGATTAATAAAATACTACTAGCACTGTAGTAGAATGATTATCGTTAACAATAATATATTACATAGTTTCACTCTGCTTATGCCTGTAATCCTAGCACTCTGGGAGGCTGCAGCAGGAGGATGGCTTGAGATCAGGAGTTGCAGACCAGCTTGAGCAAGAGTAAGATCCGTCTCTACTAAAAATAGAAAAATTAGCTGGGCGTGGTGGCATACGCCTGTAGTCCCAGCTACTCAGGAGGCTGAGGTAGGAGGGTTGCTTGAGCCCAGGAGTTGGAGGGTTGTGATGACACCATTGCACTCCAGCCTGGGTAAAAGAGCAAGACCCTGTCTCAAAAAAAAGAAACAAAGAAAAAGAGGTTGTGAGGTAGTCTGATGCAACAGCACTTTAGCCTGGGCAACAAAGTGAGACTATCTCAAAAAAAAATAAAACAAAACTATATGACACACAAACACACATATACATATATATATATATGTATGTATATATATACGTGTATAAATATATATATGTGTGTGTGTGTGTGTGTATAAAGAGGGAGAGTGTGTACGTGTGTTTCAAATAGCTAGGAGGATACTGAATGTTCCCAACACAAAGAAATAATAATGTTTGAGATAATGGATTACCCTAATCTGATTATTTTACATTACATGTATCAAAACATCACTATCTACCCCATAAATATGTACAATTATGATTTGTCAATTAAAAATTAAAATTTATCAACCTCAACACGAGTGATAAAAAAAAAATAAAATAAAAATAAAAATTAAAATTTATAACATGATATGATGAATATAAATGAAAACTGATATACCATTTCTTATCTCACAGTTTGGCAAAAAAAAAAAAATAAGTTTGATCATTTTTCCTATTGGTGATGCTATGGAGAAACAAACCACTTACAATTTGGTATGGTTCTAGCTATTAACAAGAGGGAAGACTTCACAGTCTCTTCAAGTTATGTCTTCTCCATTACTAACAGTCCTATGTTTCCCTATTATTAGGTACTTTTATTAATTGTCTATTAAATTCTTTTCTTACTCCTCACCATGGTTATATGAAGTGCATGTGTTCTTTTTCATTTTGCAGGGAGGAAACTGATGCTCAAAGTCATACAGCCAAGAGGTGGCAATGACAAGACTCAGGACCCTTTGCCTCCAAAGCTCACAAACACTTCACAGGTAGTAGTAAAGAGCACAGGGTGTCTCAGACATTTGAATGTTTACTATTAATGTGGGCAAGTTGATTAGTTGCCTTAAGGCATGGTTTTCTCATTTGCAAAAGAATAATATATCTACCTTTCTGGATAGCTGTGAGAATCAAATGCAATAAAAATGATGAAGTCCTTGGCACAAAGTAAATAACAAATTGGAAATATTGTCAATATTATTATAGTCAGGATATCATTCAACCTTTCAGCTAAATAAAAATTCTACTTCATTTTTCCTATCTCCGCATAATCAAACAGTTCCTATGTATCTGTTAAGATTTAGTGACAAATTTTATGATATTGGATATAGTTTGCTAATTGCTAAAACAAAGTACAATAGAAGGATATATTCTATGAAAACATTACTATACTAGGACAGACTCGGTGGTTTTCTCTGGTTTAGCTAGGTAATATATTCTGATTAGACTTGATGTCATCCCTCTTGTATAAGACTTTTCATTACACACGGCAGCTCTGGTAATAAAGAGAATAACAATGGTAAGTGGCACCCAAAGAGTCTAACAACAGGACAGTGTTCCTCAATCTGACCTAGATTTATGTGTCAGGAAATCAATTTACTTTTACAACTAACATTTTTTTAAAAAGAAGATAAAATATCAAGGCCCATCACTTATAGAAAGAGTAAGTTCTATTTAGTGAAACTTATTTCTGGAATAAGTAGGCGTGCCTGTGCCATTCCATAAAATATATTTATTCCTTGGTACAACAGTTGAAGCAATTCTGAATACTACTGCAAAAGAAGACCCATTCCTATCACATAGGTGAGGTACGAATTAATTGTTTTACAAATGTACTGATTTGAATCATCAAGGTGAATGAAGAAGTCATGGGCCTCTGACTAGCACATCACAGTTCTGCTGTGTCCAGCCTCAGTTTTCTCCAGCTACAATTCCTCACCCCTTACCATAAGGTATTACAGTATTACCTAGAGACCGCACATGTTACTTTTTCCTCCCCTAGCTGTTGCCGAGTTTCTTGGACAAGCAAAAATTTATGGGTTTAAGAAAAATGTGAGACCAGAAATTATGAGATATATTTTGGAATTTGGCTGGGCATCTTGGCAATCCTAGCACTTTGGGAGGCTGAGGTAGGAGGACTGCTTGAAGCCAGGAGTTCAAGACCAGCCTGATCAAGACTTAGACTCTGTCTCTACAAAAAATAGAAACATTAGCCAGGCATGGTGGTACGTGCCTGTAGTTCTAGCTACTAGGGAGACTGAGGCAGCAGGACAACGTGAGCCCAGGAGTTGGAGGTTGCAGTGAGCTATGATGACACCACTGCACTCCAGACTGGGTAAAAGAGCAAGATCCTGTCTCAAAAAAAGAAAGAAAGAAAAGAAAGAAAAGAAGAGAAGAGAAGAGAAGAGAAGAGAAGAGAAGAGAAGAGAAGAGAAGAGAAGAGAAGAGAAGAGAGGAAAGCAAGCAAGCAAAACAAAAAAAAAAGTAGCATTTTGAATTTAATGTGTGTTTAGACAATAAGAAATAGAAGCCAAAAGATTACACATATGATTGAAGAAGATGAAGTGGGAAAAAAATATAAAACATCTTCACAAATATTTGCTATGATGATTTTAAAGTGTTTTGTATACATGTTTCTTGCTTTTTGGCAGATTCCTATTGCATTCGTGGGTCATGAAATCAATTTGTGATATAGGAGTAGTGACCAGCATTTAAAAAATACAACAGGATAGAAAATATCTGTGTATCACATATTGTAGGGATAAAGGAGACAGAAAAGATCTAATAATAGTCGATGTACATAATTCTCTAGGCTCAGCTGAAAAACCAAAAATATACAGATGCTTAACCAGATGGCATCTAAGAGTTTTTTAAGATTCTTAAGGATTCAATAATGATATCATTGGTTTTGTGATAACTTCTACACTATTACACTAGAGGACTGGAGCAATTTTAAAAGAAGCATTTATAAAAAACAAGCATTTGTCTATAGAAGGCTCAAAAAGAACCCTGATAATGCCACAGGTATCATGCAGAGTTAGAGGGACTGGAGTAGCCAAGAATTCAGAGCTTGGGATAGGTACTAGCACAGTTCCTGGGACATACAGAATGCAGTAGCCATGGATGGCAGAAGCAAGTCTACTTTCTTTTATATTTCTTAAAACAATCCCATTAGAATTATACACTAATCTATTAGAATGATATACTATTGTTACCTATCCTATTTTGTTAGGAAAAGGACATCTGTTTGCGAAAAATATTAACCGTTAAAAAGAAAGTTTTTCTAGTCAATGCGACCCAAAGAAAACACAAATAATCAACTTGCCAATTGGCTAAAGCCAATTCAGAAAATTAGCTTACTTTGGGTTTGCTTGACTCAATTTTATATGAGAAATGCTTAATATTAAAGATAAAAAAAATATCTCGGGTTGTTTGGAAAAGATCAAAGTAGCTCTCCAATGTGTCAAGTGGCCAAACAAAAAAATAAACTTCACAAACATTCAATAATTGAGTAACTTACAAAGTTATGAGTTCTAGAACAAAAATGAATATAATGAAGTGCCTCCCTTTAAAGTATTGAGAAGGTATACCCAGGAATCTATGGGAACCCAAAGGGAAATTTTTTTCTTCCTATAGCTGCTAAAAATATGATAAAATACTAGCAATTACATTTGACTCAACTTAAACACTCATGCATACATACCCCATCTCCCCCTTTTTGGGGGGATAAAGGAAGGTGGGTAGGAAGAGAGGCATCTAGAGAAAACATTAATCTTACAGATGTTTGTCATTCATATAAAAGGTGTCTATTTTAACTAAGTGCTGGAAGATGAGTTAGATTTAATAAGAGTATCAGCTAAAGTTTTCTCAGATGTGGTTTTATTTCGAGGGAGATAGAATATAAGATCTTTCAAGATCTCACATAGACTAAACAACACCCTTTAGGCCTTCTCTTTAATGTTAGTGATTTATTACTTTTAAATAAATGTATATTTGATAGCAGCAAGCATCAGAATAGTCACTGCTTGCAAGTATATTGGTATTCAAATAAACATCATTCACTGTAGAGATTATATTGACAAGCACATTTTTTAAAAAGACAGCTTTGTACTTATTTGTAGGAATTAGCACAGCTCCTACTTTCTAGAACTTCGGGGACAGACGTTCTTCTCAGATATCAGTGGAAAGCCTTAAACCTCCAGGAACGACATACATGCTACACATATTTTAAATATAAAATAATCAGCATCTTCTTCTACAACTACTTTAAAATGAACAGATTCAAAAGCAACATTCTATGTAATTTAAAAAAAAAAAACCCTATGAGCAAGGATTCTAGGTTGAAATGGTAAATTGAACACATGATTTAATTTTTTCTTTAAAACTGAAATTAAGGGATTAAAAAAAAAAGAAGTTGGTGAGGACATAGAACAAGAAAGCAAATGCAACTTTGGACAATGAAAATTAGAAGAACATGTGTTATCAGACCCAAGAAAGCAAAGAAGGAGGGGGAGAGCGAAACCCAGCTTTGGACACTGTAAGTCAGATGAACATGTGGTGTCAGACACAGGAAGTGCAATCCTAAGTGCTCAGGGGGTAAAACCGAGAACCATTCCACTCAGGCCGTGTCCCTGCTTCCATCACCCTTGCCCCCACTTTAATCTTTAATCTTCTTCATTGCACTCACTACCTGCAATGTGTTTTACTTGTTCAGTTGCTAATCATGTGTTTCCCCAGCAAACTGTTAATAGAGCAAGGGCATCGGCTGCCTTGCTCACCACTGAGTTGCCAGGACCTGGAAGAATGTCCAGTACATTGAAGGTGCTCGACCACGTTCGCTGAATGAATAATTACCACCACATGATACTCACATATATAGTTAGCAATTCCTACAATGATTAAAATTTAAATATCTAATCCAACCAAGGTTTTGGCTTTTCATCTTTAATTTCCTAGCATATATATATATGCCTAAATAAAGTTTTTCCTCATGCATGTTTGTCTCACTGAAATGCATGCTACAAAGCCACTCACATGCTACCTAATAGGATTAGGTACCACCCTATACCTAATCCCAACAGACTCAGTTCACAGAATTTCTCTTCAAATTCATATTGGCCCAAAGAGTTGGGGGAGTTATCCCAGAATAGATAACTGGGCTCAGGCATGGGTGGGGAAATGACTCTCAACAGAATTAGTCCTCACGCTAAGGATACAAAGGAAGAAGCCCAAGTCTGGGAGGCATACTCAAATACAAAACCATTATTATGAAATCAACGCCTGCTGTGATGGAAAGGTGGATAAAAGCCACTTAAATTTTTAGTCTCAGGGTGCACACCCCCCACAGTTAACCTGACATTTTGCTGCCTTCCTCCACCCAGTCTCATCTTTATACAGAACCAGAGTAGAAACCAGAGTAGAAGCAAATTCATCTACATGACAAATTTACCCACCACTTGACTCATGTTTACAAATTCAGAAAACATGAACTTGATAGGAATAGTGCTCACAAGAAAATTAACAGAGGTAATACTTGGAAGACTACTTTTAACTTTTTTTTTGGTCATAAACTAAGAAAAGGGTTATGTGGAAGGGATTTAGTGGGAAGTTTCATTCACAATATTATTTGTAGACTGTTGAAGGTATTGACTGAGGAAAATTGACTTTTTCCATTTTTTGTTCAATGAATACTACTGTTTATGCTAAGGAATTCAATAAATTAATGACTTTTTAAAGCCTACTAGTATTGGGCTCTATTGTAACAGACAATTTTACCTCTAAATGCTTTTAATTGCTCTTAGATTCATTTTCTTTTTTATTTTTTTATTTCAGCATAATATGGGGGTACAAATGTTAAGGTTACGTACATTGCTCCTGCCTTCCCTCCCCCGAGTCAGAGCCTCATGCATGTCCATCCCCCAGACTGTGTACATCGCACTTATTATGTGTATATATACCAATCCCCTCCCACTGCCCCCGCCCAATGCCTGATAAATGTTTGTTTTGTTTTGTTTTGTTTTAACATTTTGGTTATATTCCACATCTTTGCCTTTCCCTAGCAATGGTTAGAGGTATGCCCTTCCCCTCCACACTGTTCACCACCTCCTTCTATCTATGGCCATACCACCCTGAACGCACCCGAGCTCATCAGATTCATTTTCTCATTTAAACTTACCAATATCATCATCTGTTCGGTCAATTGGGTCCTTCTCCAGGCAGTCTCTCACAATGTCCCTACTCATCAGAGGATCTGATGCCCTCTCGATATCTTCTTCATCGTCATCGTCCTCAGAATCCACTGCAGTTTCTGGCAACCCACTCAGGTCCATATCACCAGCCTCACTTTCCGTGGCCTTAAATCAGAAAAGAAAAATTAAAAACTATTTTAAGTAAATCAGTCTTTGGGGCCTCAAAGATATAATAAGACTAGATGATCAGAATAATTTTTTTGTTATATTTATTTTTCTATATCTAAGTGAGCTGTATTCAACATCCCACAAATATTTATATACCAGACATTATATATAAGAATAACCTCAATAAAATATGAATGATTTTATCTCCTATTAAATTTTTGGCCAGCATTAATGATCTTATCTCAGTAATTGTGATTTCTTATCTGAGCTGTCATGTTATTTGTAACATAGAATAAAAAAGAAAAAGATAGTATTTGGAGTTATACATTTCAAGATGGTCTCTTCTGTTGGGTTAGCTGAAACATAGAACACTTATGCTTTTTAGTTCAATCTGTAGCCTTTTGTGATTATCATCTCAGCAATATGTATATATGCATCATATTGGTCTTACTGGACATTACATATATAGAACTCACTATTTAAGCATAGTAAGAATGAATTCAATTAAATATTAACTACATTAATCTTAAATTTCACAAATGTATTTTCCAGATGAAATATTAAAATCTTGAAAACATCGTCTTTTAAAATTGTTAATTTTGTAGACAATATAATTCAACTTCAAATAAATGATAGCCCACATGATTTTCAATAATAAACATTTTATTTTTAAGAATAGGCAAATAAAGATTTTTATAAGATAAAAATATAAAATATTGAACCTGATAATAACACTGAATATTTACAATGAGGCAGACATTGCTTTAAGTGCTGTGTATAAACTCATTTAATCCTATAAAGAAGCATTATTAATTTTTATTATTCTCTGAACACTTAAAGAGAAATTGTTTTTCAAAGGTCATGTTGCTGATAAATTGTGGAATCAGGATTAGAACCCAGAAATTCTAGCTACAGAGTCTTAACCAATACCCAATCTGCCTCATTAAAATAGACACTTACAAGTGTTGTTTGTATAAAGGATCTATACTTTCTATAATTGAAGCCAAAATTTAAAGAATTGTGCTATTTTCTTATCAATAAAGTTTCACCCTTGTAAATTCCTGGTTTATATCATAGAACATAAGATCCAATCCTACATTTCAAAGCAATACAAGCATGTGTTAATGTTTTCTCAAGTTTAACAATGAGTTTTAATCACATTTTCAGTTCTGTAGATACAATTTCCCAAATGGTAACACATATAAGCAAAACTTAAGGAGAATAATTGAAGACAAAAGATGTAATGTGTACAAAAGCTACAATGGCCTTAATACTGCTGACTGTGATGAATAGATGTGTTCCAGGTGGGAGAGCAATAAGCCATCAGGGCCCATGCAGAAGGAACTGTGACACACTCAGAAGAAACACAGTCCACCAGAAAGACAATCCCATCAATTACTGGGAGATCATTTTTCCAAACCCGACATGGTTACTCACGCCCACCAAGATCAAAAGCTGTAAAAGTCATTCTAGCAATTGTTAGTTCTTCTGTGTCAGATGCAGTGTTGGAACATGTTGGCCCAATCTGTCATCTGTGAGCATGTAAAGAGTGATTTTTGCCTCCATATCCAAACCCAAGAATACAAGCTTTCCAGATTTCTTGGCGAGGACACTGCTCAAGCCATCGTAGATCCACTAAAAGATGGAAGACTGTTAATGCTTACCACGGCCCATGAGGCTCCGATGGCAGATTGGACCCTCCCTCAGAGCACACAGGCCAGAAGCACCTGGACTGCTACCATGTTTCTCCGAAAATAAGACCTTCCCATAAAATAAGCCCTAGCAGGATTTCTAAGCATTTGCACAATATAAGCCCTACCCAGAAAATAAAACCTAGTGATGGGCGTGGCTACGCAGCATATCTGCACAACCCATGCATTTCGTTACCAAGCGGTAAAGAAGAGGAGCAGCCCTTCTCATCTGCCCCATTGTGACAGCTACTATCCCAGAGGTGACTGGAAAGGTGCCGGCAGCCCCACCAATAAGGTCGGCTCCCCTTGTCAGGTCCCGGCCATCCTGTGCGTGCTGCAAGCTGAGGTTTTGAGGGGAAAATAACACATTCCCAGAAAATAAGCCCTAGGGTATCTTCTTGAGAAAAAATAAATATAAGACCCTGTCTTATTTTCGGGGAAACACGGTAGTTTCTTTCTTCTCTTTTTTCTTTCTCTCTCTTTTTTTTTTTTTGTTTGATAGAGTCTCACTCTGTTGCCCCAGCTAATTGCAACCTCAAACTCCTGGTCTCAAGCAATCCTCCTGCCTCAGCCTCCTGAGTAACCGGGACTACAGGCACACATCACCACACTCAGCTATTTTTTTTAAATTTTTAGTAGAAACGAAATCTTGTTCTTGCTCAGGCTGTTCTCAAACTCCTGAGCTCAAGTAGTTCTCCCACCTCGGCCTCCCAGTGTGCTAGGATTACAGGTGTCTGCCACTGCGCCCAGCTGTAGTTTCTTTTACACAGTGAAATGTTAAACATGTTCTCTTCTACAATGTATTTAATACCTACACATTATTCTATCATAGTTATGAATTAGAATTTATTTATCCATCTACCACTGGCATTTTTACTTATTTTCAGTATTCTATCTATGATTATAAATCATACTTTTTGTATGCCTTTCCTATTATTTCCATAGGGTACTACCTTGAATTGTTATTGCTAGGTCATGGGGTACTGCCATGTCATTCGAAATCCTGGGAGCAGGTTCCACAATGTAATGTTCCTCAGTCACAAACAGGACCACCCTGCCATACAAAGATGGCCCTAAGCTGCCCACTAAGGTGAGCCGGGTGTTATTCACAACTTTTAACCTACTTTAACCCCTGGAAAACTGATTTTATAGACTTTCCAAATTACACTCATTTTTTTAGCAGTTGAACCTTTCCTCTGGTTTCTTCAATAAAGAAGTTAATTAGTTAAAAAATTAATATTAAAAAAAGAAGAAGAAACACATCCCCTAATTTAAATTCAAAATTCACTGAATTATCTCTAGACTCTAGGAGACTGAAGCAGAACTTGATGTGATATAGTAGCGCCAGGGTTGTGACTAGAAAAATTAGGTCAAAATTGTTATCACCACATCTTACTTCTAGAGAAAAGTGACACTTTGCTAATGCTTGCTATTATTACACTTGTACTCCACTGTCATCTTAACATTGAAGATTATTCATTACCAACCAACTTATATTTTCAATATACTATGAGTTCTCTATATACACATTCTTTATTACTAGCAGAAAGAAGAAAGGGTATTTTACTGAAGATATAAATCTTAAAAATCTGTATTTTAAATAATTTAATATAATTAAAAGATTCTCTTAATTTTAAAACTTCTAATATATGCTTAAAGATGAAAATGTATTTTATAACACCCCAAAGAAATCATCATTTAAATGAATTATATTTAAGTCTTAAATAAAGAAAGAGACTTTTAAATGTCAATTGGATTCATTTCTCTAAAACAGAACTTTCCACTCTGTTTGTGTAAATGATCATAGTTGTTAGCTATCTCTATGGGTATTCCACTCTTTAAGAAACAAACTATTCATAAAATAACATTCACTAACCCAGTAATTTAGAGGAATACTTTTTTTTTTTTTTTTTTTTGAGACAGAGTCTCACTTTGTTGCCCAGGCTAGAGTGAGTGCCGTGGCGTCAGCCTGGCTCACACTCAGGGGCTCAAGCGATCCTCCTGCCTCAGCCTCCCAAGTAGCTGGTACTACAGGCATCCACCATCATGCTCAGCTAACTTTTGTATTTTTTGTAGAGACATTTTCTTCCTCTTGCTCAGGTTCGTCTCAAACTCCTGACTTCAAGGGATCTTCCTGCCTCAGCCTCCCTAAATGCTAGGATTACAGGTCTGGTTTCGAACTCCTGACCTTGAGCGATCCGCCCGCCTCAGCCTCCCAAAGTGCTAGGATTACAGGCGTGAGCCACCGCGCCCAGCTGAGAGGATTACTTTTATTTATAATAAGTGTCCATTTTATTTTAAAATACCACAGAATTCCCTAAATCAGACATTTCAAAAAACTTGATAAACAACTTTTCAGGAATCCACTAATTTCAAAATACCACTGTCTCACGAACAACAAGACGTCTAGACACTGAGTTAAAAGTTTAATAAACACAAACTGGTATTCTGGAGAAGAGTATTATACTGAACTTAAGAAGAATGCCTGGAACTCAGTATTTACTGAATTTATATTTGCTGAAGGAACAAACTCAGTTTTGTGGCTCCAAATCTCACCTCTACCATTAATTATGTGGTTTTAGCAAAGTCACTTAACCTCCAGGTTTTATCTATAAACTGGAGACACAGCTTCTCACCATTCCTAAGACGGCTTTTGGATCAAACATGGGAACAGAAAGCCAGCTAAGATCAAAAGTTCCTTTCTGAAAGTGTTAACATTTTTTCATCTTAGTATTACGCTTGTACACCTTCTACCCATACCAGCAGTGAGCCTGGCACACAATTTATATTTGCAGAAAAACAAGAAAACACAAAATTCTATTAAACACCTTACCTCCTTACATATTTGTAAAAAACCTCTCAGATTATTGCACCCATTAAATTCCAGCCAAATGATTCGTACAATAATTATAGTGATCCTATATTAAATGACTACTAAATATCTAGCACTAAATTGGATGCTTTTAATATACAATAATCAATCCTCATATCAATTCAGCAAGTTAGTATTATTACCCCATTTTACAGATGAGAAAACACTCAAGGAAATTAAGTAAGTTGTTCAATGTAAACAAAACAAAAGCTAGTAACTGTGCCAGGACTCAAAATGAGGCCTGACCAATACGAAAAATACTAACTACTTTGCATTATGTCTAGCTTTCTCATAGGACAGTCTTTATAAAGAAAAGAGTTAAAATGCAATAATAACTTTGCTAAGTTATAAAAGATACATTCATAAAAACATATTTGCATATAAACATAATTGAAACATTTGCTTTCTAGCTTCCTTGAACCCAACACTACTAA